CTTTTTAAGGAGAGACTTTGATGACATGAAAGATGGAACCATACTGGTGTTAAAATGAACAGAACCGTAGACTGTCTAAATAATTTAATCACATTTTTACCAATTTAAAAAAGAACATTGTTCTCTAACATATAAATTGGCATTTATTTGAATGACTATATTGGCATATAGTATTGGGAGATTTTTAAAATATTTTTGCTAATTTTTATGTTGTTCTTGCTATGTGCTATCAAGTCATCTCCAATTTATGATAGCCCCATGAATTAAAGCCTTCCAAAGTGTCTAGTCCACAGCTGCCCCTACATTCAAGGCTGTGGCTTCCCTTATGGAATCAATCGATCTCATACTAATCTTCCTTTCCTCTGCCTTCAACTTCCCCTAGCATGATTTTTTTTTATAAATAGCAAAAGGATGTAAGATCCAATCACATCAACATATATAACTACAATAAACTGCTGAGCTTTTGAGATTTTGACAAGCTTTTTATAATTGAATAAATTCTAGGAGGAAACATTGTTAGGATGAAATCCTATCTGTGATGCTGTCTTTTTCTATTACAGTAACACAGAAGAGCTTAAACAAACTGTAAAAATGTACCTTTATCAAAACAAACCACTGGGCTGGTTCATGCAATCATCAGCAGCAAAAATTGCTGGATGCAATTTCCCTAAGCACCATCCCTGGCATGTTGTGCTGGCTAAGCCCAGGCAGCATGGTATATATCTCTCTCTCCTGGGTTTCCAAAGTGTATGCACAGGTCAGAAAAAACCATGCCATCTATAGCTGCTGCTTCTTTTAATGCAGGTAAACTGAGTTAGTTTTTAAGGATTGCATAAAAGGGCAGCTGTAATGTTTAGCACACACTGTGGAAAGAAAAATGATTTTTGTTTCTGAATGTTACTGTGATGTGTTTTACTCAGTGAGTGCAGAAAAAAGTAAAGCACAGGATTTGCACTGTGCTGCAGCCTTGCAAGTTGTTAGGGAAGGTACTAGTAAGATTTTGCTAGGCAACAACTGGGAGCAAGAATATAATTTCTGTCAGTCATTGCATCAAAATGGGGAGAGGAATACCATGGAAAGTAGTACAGGTATGCCTTGCTGGCAGGTTGCCCCTGCAAAAGTCAAATCTGGATGGGGAAAATTTGATAAAATTAGCTGAATTCACAAGTGAAATAGAGGACTTATATTTACTGAATTTGCATGCTATCTCTCTCTTCATAGAATCATACAGTTGGAAGGGGCCAAACAGGCCATCAGGTCCAACCATCAGCCCAGTGCACAACTCAAGACACCCCTCCAGCTTTCAACCCAGCCTAACCGTGCTTTGCTTCCAAGATGAGGCACTTTAGGCTATTGCCCATCCATACCACACTTGCCTAGGTTTGCATGATCAGGGACGGGGATAAATCCACAGTGACTTCTTTCTTCTGTCCTGTATGTGATTTGCTGTGTTATCTGAACCTGGTGAGGAGGGTTCCAGGGTTAGCTTCCAAAACACCCTGCAACTCATGTCTTGCTCTAGGGTTGCAGAACCATCTCCGCCACCAACTCTTCCCAGACTCTGATGACACAACAATCTCTGAGCTGTGTGGGTAACAGATACCATGCATAGGGGTGGAGAAAAGAGGCCACAATGGGTTCCCCACTGTGAACCTGGCCCTGAAAAAGTGAGCATCTTCTGTTAGAGCAGTTATTCACTAAAAATGCTCTTCTGTCCATAAAGAGATCACCACCACTAGTAATAACTCCTTGTGGTAAGAGTCCAATAAACTGGTGGGGAAGTTTCCCCTGTGATGTTAAGTTCATAAAGGGGAGGAAAAGAACAAAAAAGGTTCATATTCCTCCATACCACAACCACCTTTTCTGAATGAACATTGTGTGTGACTGTGTGGCAGAGAACAGCTTTACTGAGACTGGAATCCAAAGACAAACTTACTTCTTGGAGACAAGAATTTTGCTTGCTGCATTTCTTTCAGAAGGTTGCAGCCGGAGAAGTAAGCCACTTTATGTACTGCAGGGCACATGTTCTCTGTTTTGGTTTTGGGAAAACTCTTAACTCAAAATTCTTCTTGGTTGTCACTGTGTGTCACCCATACTGGAAATAGGAGGGTAGGCAGGTTTCTACCTTTGCAGAGCCCTGATGTGGGAAACTTTCATAGATGAGGTATTTTTGGTGGGAACTTTCCCCACGGTTGTAGTGCACACATTATCCATGGGTTTCCACCCATTCCCTTAGTTCCTCTACAACTGCCGTTGCAGTTACTTTGTGTGGAGCCCTTTCCTTTCTCTCTCATAGAAGTCCTAGGTTCTTGATTCTGATGAGATTTGTAGCTCTCATCTCCTTTATTCCCACTTCAAATGTTAGCTATTTGTCAACAGTTCTTGATCAATGAGTCTTCATTTGTGAAACATGGTCTCCGGGGGCCTGTTTCACAAGTGCGTTCACTACAGCAGCAGTGTGTGTGTGTGTTTGTGTGTGTTTTAATTTGCCCACGTCACTTCTGATACGCATCACTTCTGTGTACATAGTAATGTTTGACATACGCTGTCATACTGAAGGAGCTCTGTGGATTTGGGAGCTGAAAAGTCTGTCCTAAAAGAGCTGTTGGCTCATTATTAAACCCATATAAGGCTGTAGTCCTAACAAAAAGTAGCACTAAACTGTTCTGAATACTGATCCTTTTGATCAAGCTTGCATAGGATTGCACTGCAAATGGCCTCGAGTGGCCTTCCTAACATGCTGCCCCCAAGATCTTTTGGGATGATTGCCATTAGCTCCAGCCAGCATGTCCAGTGGGTAGGAATCCTTGAAGCTGTGCTGGCTGGGACATGCTAGAACTTGCAGGTTATTATTTCTGCCTAATCCCGCATAGGATTCTTCCTTGAACTGGGGTATCTCTACCTATTTTGCTTACAAACTGTTAAATGGCAAGCAGTGCTACAGTGGTGCATGCTGGTATGTGGCAACAATTGGGCTATTCTAATTTCAATACACATGCTTGCTAGTAAATACATTTCAATGTACCTTTCTGCTAATGCACTCAAGGCTGTTACGTTGCATTTATACCCTGCCTTTATTCCTCTTGTGAGGAATCCAAGGCAGCTCGAGTAACTCCCATTTTTATCCTCACAAGACAATGAGTGCAAGTGACTGACCCAAAGTCATCCAGTGAGCTTCATGGCTGAGAGAGGACTAGAAGTGGGATCTCCCAAGTCCCAGTCCAATTCTGTAATAACAGCACCACACTGGTTCTCAGGAACCAGTTTTAAAAATCATAGACACAATGTGAAGGGGACCAAGAGGGGAAAAAGGCAAGGAAGGGTTTGGGGAAGAGAGCAATTGGGTCTCATTGAAGCAGTGAATATACTGCTGTCTCAACTTTCCCTTTGATGCAATTCTGGGAGCAGAAGATGAATGTTTGTTCTTGCTTACTCTGTCTGGTTTATAAGTTAAATGTTCTGTCTTTATTTAGGGCCAATGGACAGATTTGAAATGTTGAGAGTCTGTTGTGGGCATCTCACAATATGGCTGCTATGAGGAGGCTTCTCACTCTTAAAATGGCTACTGTGGTGAGTGGTGTGGCCAATCACAAAACAAGTGGCCACATCAGGAAGACAAAGAGGTGCAGCGAAATGAAAATGAATGTGAGCAATACATCAGTACAGGTTGGCCCTGAATGGCAGGAACCCTATTCTTTTTAATTCATAGTTTTGTGTTCCAATGCCCAATGGTGAACTGATGGAGCTTGATGACTAGCAACATGGCTCAGAAGAGTACCCCAAATACGAAATAATGCAGACTAAGCATCCACATACCCCACAACAATACACAGACACACACACAAGCAGGCAAATCCCCACCACCACAGAGCATGGGTGAAACATCTCCCTTATTCTCCAACATAGCTCTTGTACTGTTCTCCTCCACCATGAAGTGTAAGCCACTATTATTTATTATTTATTTATTAAAGCATTTGTATCCCATCTATATCCGAAATGGATTTCAAGGTGGCTTATAAAAATCAGAAATATAACAGCGCATTAAAAACATAATTTCAATATATAAAAATATGCAGTAAAAATGAGAATGCATTCAACCATTAAAATGCTGGTTAGATAAAACGGTTTGGCCATGTCTTCAGGGCCCCATATTCTTGGAAATAAAATGAAATAGAGCTGGAGGCATGCTTTTTGTTTTTATATTTTAAATATAAGAGTTTTTAAAAACAAAACAGGGTTGTGAAAAACTTGGCAAGTGCCGAATGAGTAGTTCCTAAGTACACTAGCACCCATGGGCACCATGTTGGAAACCCCAGAATAGGTGTCTATTATAACTTGAAGACTCATTCCCATTTAATAATCTCAGTCGCTTTCTCAGTCCAGCACCCCAATATATTCAAGGTTGGTTGTTTTGCACCTATTTAGAATTTCTGTAGTTCCTAACTTAATAGACTGTTAAATTTTGCTGAAATTATTAAAATACATTTAGATTACTTGCCGATTCATCTTACAGAAACGTTTGTTTTGCATTCCCTTTGAATGCAAGACGTCATACGAAGAGTTACGTATTTCTGTTGTGCAATTACAAGCCCTTTTCTTCTAACTGATCTGAACCGTGAGCCGACGTGGCACCAGCTCGGAAGTTCAGAATAATTTCGTCTTCTGAGGTCTGCATTGGATGAGTAAGAGCCACAAATTGTTTGTGAAATACGTTACATAACAGGGATTCGCTTTCTTTGCGGAACTGTCTGCTGTTACGGGCGCGTACGGACTCTGGCATTGCATTCTGGGTTCTGTAGTCCGCGCGGCCTCGTGCGAGAATGCGCAGTGGGGAATCTAAGCCTGGGAAGATGCTAACGAGGAGAGGGGCGGGAGCGCCTTTTCATTGGCTTAAAAGAAAACCGGCTTCTCTCTAAGCTGCTCAGTAGCCAGTCCGCACTGCCCGTCAAGGTGGGTTCCAGGCAATCAACGCTCGCTCCGCCTCCACCAGCCAGAATGGAAAGGAGAGACAGCCGCGGCAGGAGGATGTGGCCGCCATGTTAGTGCAGGCTCCGCTGTTGCCCTCGCCGTCGCCGCGCACTAGGAAGGAGGCGGAGACGCCGGAACAGCTCCGACTGCTGGAGGAGCCACTGGGGCTCGCTAGGCGCGGCGGCACGGGTTGCTGTTGCGGCGGGCGGCTCCCCGCGCTGCTGCGGCGGAGGGTGGCGCTGATGCGGTTGGTCGACGGCGCCTCGGGGCCGGCCTAAGAGGCGGCTGCAGAGGAGGCAGTGGGACCCCGGTGGGGTGGCGGGGCGGCGGCCAGCCGCCGTGGGAAGCGCAGGATGTGGCTGAGGGCGGTTCCTGCCGTGCTGGTGTTGCTTCTGGCGAGCCCCGCTTTCTTTGAAGGGAAAGGGCTCCCTAGAGGCTGAGGCGCACCCTTCCTCTCCCCCCCGGCTACCCGTTGAATCCTCCTCCTCCCTTCTCAGCCTGACCGGACTCGGTATCCTCACCGCAGGAGGGAGGAGGAGGAGGAGGAGGACGAGAAAGAGAAGCGAGTCCTTCCCCCGCACATTGCTGCTGCCACCGCTGCCGGGCCTCCACCTCCTTTCCCTTTGGTACTGCTGCTGGAAGATGGCGTGGGTGCTGAAGATGGACGAGGTGATCGACTCGGGGCTGGCGCACGACTTCGACGCCAGTCTTTCCGGCATCGGGCAAGAGTTGGGCGCCGGCGCCTATAGCATGAGGTGGGTGTAGTGGGCGCGGCCACTCTGAAGGGAAGAAAAGAGGGTCGGCCCATCCTCGTCCCGGCCCCCGTTTTTTTTCACCCATATGCTTGGGCAGAGGAGCTAGGCCTCGCGGGGACGGTGCTGGCGGTTCTTCTCTCCCATAGAGTTACTCCTGCAAGGAGGACCTCGGTGGCGGCAAGAGACTGCCCGTCTTGTTAGCCTGCATTGCTCATTGCTCCACGGACTTGTCCTAATTATGGTAGGCCGACCCCGCATTCAGAAGCGAACAAAATGGCAGTAGCTATCCCAGTGGAAGCAGTGATGTCTAATGTGTGGCCAGGAAGCTAATTTTGGGCATGTCTGCACAAGTGCACTTTATTGAGTTCACTCTGAACTCTTGGTCCCTTTCCTATATGTGTGGATGACAGAAGGAATCTTATTCCTTGCCCTGCCCTGATAACACAATTCATATAGCGGGAGGGATGTGCCACTGATGGAAAAAGTGTCACACACTGCATCAGAATTCCCTGTCTCAGAGACTGCTGGCTACATGTACCCTAGCAATGTATGATCCTTGACTCAGCATTGTCAGAGATGAGTCCCCACCTGTGTTTTGCTTTGGACTGAGGAGAGACTCACCAAAAGAATTTTTAAAAAGTTCATTGCTGGAAGGCAGATCCATGGATCATAGAACACCTTGTTTTGTATACATATTTTCTTAAAAACTTAATTACATGCTTCATATTTTAGAAACTAGTCTGTAAAACACCACTTTTTAGGAACATTCTAGTGAATGTTCACCCTTGAGGAACATTCCAGCAATTATATAAATTGAATCTAACAATGCATTGTTTTTGAATGTCAGTTTGGTAAGTTAAATGTTTTGGTGATTGTTTCATACATTTTCACAGACTAAAAGATATCTGTATTTTTCAGACTGCAGTCTTCAAACAGAAATAGATTAAACTAAATGAAGTTCAGAACTTTAACTCTGCAAACTGATCACCTCAGTAAATACTTAGGATAAGGGCTGGCAGCTGCTGGATCCACTTTCCATCTGCCCTGTGCTAGTGCAAATGTTGTGGATAGAAAAGCCTATCATGTTTAAGATCAGGGTGTTTGCACCAGAAAATTATGGTCTTAAAAATAATCTAGTTAACAAAGATGGCTTACCTTACAGATTTCCAAAACTAAGTGTAACTGAAAAGGAAGCTTTCACATAAACTTCAGGGTAGCTAAGAAAAATGCAAAATTACAAAAACAGTGAAACTGTAAAACAGCCACAAATTAGAAAACTACAGCGAGGCAGCAACTAAACATCCAGCCTGTTAACTCTTGGAATCAGTTTTCAAATTCCATTTGCTTCTCTTAGAGAAGATCGGACTGCTGTACTTTTGTACCTTCAAAGAGAACCATTAGGTTGGCTGGCACAAGAGAGATTTCTTTTTTGACAATGGCTCCAGAACTGTTGATCAATTCCACTAGAAAGGTTCAAGACCCCGTCATTCCTGATCTTTTGTAGGCACTGTTGGCAAACAACTGCTTTCTCTTAAATAAGGATTTTACAGGGTTGGTGTATATATGGTCCTACTTTACTTTTAATTTTCTGTTTTTACTAGACTGGGTATTTTGTCAATGCTATTGGTTCTTGGGTTTTCATTGTGGAGGAGTTTTACAGCTTTAAAGTTACTGAGTTGGATCCAGATTTAGATTTGTGCAGTGCAGTCAAGCTTGATAGAATTCTCTGTCCGTCATTCACATGGCAGAAATTCTAGCCATCTGAAAATGTTACACAGCAGGTCTGAGAACCCTGCTCAATGGTGCCATAGGCTGGTGTGGAGGAAGGAGAAGACACTCCATAATAGAGGTTGAGTCACTTTATGTGAGTTAAGCTTTTCTCAGAGAAGATGTCTCAGCTAGATTCTTCTGGATCCTTCCTTCCCCCAAAGCATCTTCCATATGCTGCAGTCTACCTGGAGAAAACTGTCAAGAGAACTTCAGCTATTGGATGGTATAGAAATAAGACTAATAGTAGGGTCTCCCAGCTGTGTGTAGAATGTTTTGGAGGCTGCTGTGGGGAGGAGGAGTTTAGAAATTTGCTTAAATCTGAATCCAGCCTCTTTGTTGATTATATATTTTGAAATATATGCTGGAAGCCATCTTACAAATATTTGACCCCTAAAAGGCTTGTCTACAGATATCTAAAATAAATATATAAAATTTATTTATGAGACTGCAAAATATATCTTAGAAAGAGAGAAGTGTTCACTTGATAAGTGCTAGGTGAAAGTTTGTTAGACTTTGCATTTCTTCCTCTTACGCTGCAGGAGAAAATCAGAAGCTTTTGTCTTACATTTGAACTAACCATATCTATGTATGTGCAAATGCAGACAACTGTGGTCAGTCTTAAATGTCATTTAAGGAAATTAAACACATTTTTGACATGATAAAAATTGCTGTTAATTGAGGACAGAAACAAAAGCCTCTAATCTTCTCCTGGTGAAGAGAGCAAGTACTCAAGCCTAAGGCTGGCTCATATAACTAGCCTTCTGCAATCAGTATGTATTGGACTACAATTCTCATTCCTATCCTTTAGCTGTGCTGGCTGTGACAGATAGACATTGTATTCTAAAACATCTGCACTGAATCATGCTTTAGTGTTCTGCGTAAACAGATTGATCTAATAATGTACGAAACCTGCCTAAGGAATTTGGTTGATGGTACCTTTCTCCCTTTAGCAGTTGAGAAATTCCACCTAAAATCTTGTTCTATGTTCTGTTGAAATTCTCCAGAATGTCTGTATCCCATTCCATTTAAAAATAGATTGAAATGTTTTTCTGTTAGATTCACTCATGGTCAGATCTTTGCCCCTAATCTCAGATCTTTTTGCTGCTGGTGTTCAGCGCTAAAGGAAATGTATTCTGAGTCACCATCAAAAGTATGAGATTCCTGGGCCGACCTTCACCCTTCTTGTTCTGTAGTGATTCCACTAGAGCTGGTTTTGTTTGGTGGTATTTGGAGACTGCATAGAACTACTAGAACAGCCTTCTCCAGCCTGGTGCTCTTTGGATGCTTTGGATTAGGAGCCCAAGCATTTCCTACCATTGCTCATGCTGGCTGGGGCTGATGGAAATTAAAATTCAGAAAGTATGGAGATTGGTGAAAGCTGCACAGTTGAATCTTTCTCTTCTGCTTCACAAGATCATCAATCACTCTGTATTGTAGCAGTGCTCCTGTGCTGTTAATAACTGCCTTCCAGATAGAAATATAGCAGGTATTAGAAATTAATCCTGTGGTCCTAAAGAGGATGCCCCAGGAACTATAGGGTTTGAAATCCCCCTTCCAAAGTTGGAGACAGTATTTGGAAGGGGGAACATTGAGATCCAGGTTCCTTCTTCTGACTTCTTGCAGCCAGCATGGAAAGAACAGCACTGGCTGCCCTCCAGGATTGGAAATATCATCTTGCAGCAGGAGGAGTATCTTATGGTGGGTGGGAAGGGAAGGAGACCAGACAGGCTAGGATATGAGAGGACTTGATACCTCTGCAGCCTGCTTCCCTCTTCTTCCAGAACACCTGTGCTAGACAGTCTCAGAAGCCTATCTGGCAAAAATACAAAAGACAGAGGAGAGAAAGGCAAAAATTGCCTCTCTTGCTCCTCCCACCCTGTTGGCATGAACCTAGAAGGCTTTGGGTAATCAAGCTTCCAGTGTATGAGAGGATTGCGCCATTGGTATTTCTTTTTCTTCTTGGTTTGAGTGCTGTCTGAATGTTTCCTTTTCACTCCTAACACAATACAGTGGTACCTCGACTCACGAACGCCTTGGTTCATGAACAAATCGGGTCATGAACAAAAATGTCTGAAAATGTTTGACTTGAGTCTCAAACACTGCTTTGGGTGGCGACCAAGATTGGGAAGGCACTCATGGTGATCAGAGGCACGCTGCTGCAGGAGAGACAGGAGCAGGAAAGCAGAGCTGCAGAGGAGATGGCTGAAATTCCACCTGTCTTTCCTGCAGGAGCACGCCTCTGATCAAGCACACCTTCCCTGCACAAATGGAACTGCAGTCGAGGCCATCTCCCTACCCCCAGCGCACCATTTGCGCCCATCTCTCTCTCCCCCACTGCGCCCGCGATCACGCCTGTCTCTTGCATGCAGGGACGACGGGTACGATTTGGGTCATGCTGGCGGGGGGGGGGGGGCGATGGCCACGCTTGTGGTGGGGAGGTGGCTGGGATCTTTGTTGTCACTTTGCTTCACATTTTTCTGATTTTAAAAATGGTTACAGAACGGATTAACCTTATTTACATTGAACCTTATGGGGAAATTTAACTTGACTCACGACCAATTTGGGTCACGACCAGAGTCCTGGAACGGATTAAGTTTGTGAGCCAAGGTACCACTGTACATGCGTAACCATCACCTAATCAAAGGAATCTATATGTACAAAGCTTCTCTAAGGAATTCTAGATTTATGAAATTATTTTAGCTGCAGTGAAAGCCTTGTCTGAGGTGGAACTTAACTAAAGTGAGAAGCTTGTTTTGTGATGTTTCTACTCTCTGACAATAGTGAGTAGGTGGAAGAAAAGGTTCTTGTATTGAACATAGGTTTTTTTTAATGCAAGTTGACTGAAAAACCTGTGTGGCAAGTCTGAAGCAAAATATCATCAGATGTTATTCTATAGTCAGATCTTCTGTCTGGGTAGTTCAAATATCATTCAGAAGGGCTTGTGACTAAATCTGTCCTCCTGTGTTGGTACTTCAGAGTAACTTGCCAGAACATTCTGATAACTGCAGATGATGCATAGTAGGAAGGTGACTTCTTGGGTAGTTGGCTTTGTTACAGATACGATTTTCTACCTTTGGTTTCATTTGGATGTATGGATTACCAGCTAATATATCATTTATCTTCCTGATATATTAGCTTACACCCAGAAAGACTGTTTTAGATCAGTAATACTAACTTTTTGTTCAAGTGAATCAAAAGACTTTGTGTAAACTTTATTGGCGACATACTGTTGTTTCCAGCTATCCGTTAATTGGATAAGCTGCTTTAGTAAGGCTTTAATACTGAATTATTAATACCTTAAAATGTATTTGATGAAGGCTGCATCTCTGTTCCTAGCCCATCTTTATCTCCTGGTGTTTAATTTTCTGCTTTAATGTTTTAAAAACTTATTTTCACTTCATGTCCTATGTTAAGATGCGAAAGGCTGTGGCCAGGAGCAAGTGAAAAATGCAAGGAGATCCCCAAACAGCTTAAAAAAAAAAAGAAAGTTGGGGGAAATAAATTCATATGAACTATTTTCTTATTTGGAACAAATGAAATGCTTTTCCAGACAATTTTCAACTAATTTAAAATATGTATGAAGATGTTCTTTTTTGGGTCATCTGCAGAATTAGAATAATAATAGGCAGTACATAAATCCCAGTTACATTTCTGCATCTAGAAAGTGATGTTATCTTTGAGATGTTTCTGTTGCTTGTGAATTGCTGGTTGCCTTTACTACAAAACCTGTGGTTTATATTTTTAATGCTTTTGTATTCCAAGTCAGATGGTAAAAGGATACATGATTAAATAGCTTCAGATAATGTGAGCTCTCTCTCTAGTGTTTAATATATTTGCAGTTCTGCTTGTACATTTATACATCGAAGCCCAAAATCCTATAAATGTTTAGCTGGGAGTAAAGTCTGCTGAACAAAGTGAATCTTGCTGTGGAGTAAACATGTATCAGGTTCTGTAAATTTTATCAGTATGCCAAATAGTGCAACACCATTTGCTAACTAGATAATAAATTACTTTTACAACATAAAAAGTAATTAATGACTTTAAGATTTGATATATTTCTATTTTCCCCAATATTGCTGTTTCCTAACCACACAACCCAAAATTTCCTTACATCTTCAAAATTTTAAATCACTGAGGATGATGCATAATCTGTTAATTGTACCTGAATTATTCTTTATGTACTACCATTACATTGAAGGCCTTTTGCTTATTTTGAAAATTGAAGCCATGTGTTAATGAGCAATAACTGCATAATGAACAGTAGCTGACTAGCCACAAGCTAAGGAGTTGCAAGGTGGAAGAGAAAATCACTAGAGATTTTAAGGCAGATGACATGTTATCATGTGTCTGCTGCTGCTAAGCCTTTCATTTATTGAAATCTTTATCACAGTTTCTGTTTACTGCTAGCTTTATATAGCAAAGTCAATATATATCACTATATATTTTAAATGATTCACTGTATATTTTTAAGCAAGGATTTGAATTTATTGATCCTTTTAAGCAAAATTTTCCATCAGTCTTAATTACTAAAGACTAAAGCAACAAAAGTACTAAAATATAAACTTTAGTGCAAGAGTTAAAAGTGGCTACATAGTCTTGGTGACTATTTCATAATTGTCAATTCATATGATCATTTGCATCTGACTCCCCTATCCCCTTTACTGCAAAGTTTAGTTACCACTATGAAACTCCATAAAATGAATTTAAAACTAAGTATTCTTGTTATTTAGGGACAGGTCTTTTTCAGTGATGGCATTCTTTTTCTGTTTTTAGCCTAGAACATCTTTTTTATTTTTTTGAGTTTATCTACTTGATCTTCTTGCTGTTACTCAGGTTTACTGTTGCTTGTTTAGCCTGTTTAGTACTGCACATATTGTTAAATTTTTAATTCTTTTTCAGTTTCATTTTTTTATTTTTTGAATTGCCTTTGAAAAAAATTTAAAGGCGCAATCCTATGAATAATGTGGTTTGTACATTTATTAGGAACAAGACAGAAGCTTCTATAAGGATGCCCTTCTTCCTGGTAATAGGGCTGCTCCTTCCTGGTGGTCTGGCACTGTATCTTGCGCATAGGTAGCCTCCCTTTTGCTAGCATGAACAGAGTTGTGGCTTCTGAGATTCTTATGTGGCCTTTTCTTATTTCAGTGATGTTTTGGCACTGCCCATTTTCAAGCAAGAAGATTCTAGCCTTCCACCTGACAATGACACAAAACATCCACCTTTTCAGTATGTTATGTGTGCTGCAACATCTCCAGCAATCAAACTGCATGATGAAACCCTTACTTACTTAAATCAAGGTTAGTATTTTTTCCTATGAACAATGTTTTATTGCATTTTATTATATTATACTTGGAATGCCAGTAATAACAGTAGCAGCAAAATAATAGGGTCCCTCCTCCTCAAAAAATAGTATTTTCTCATGACTACTTGTGAATGGCATGTATGGTGTATGTGCCATACTATTCCTGGTATGTATAAAGTGAGAAAATAGAAGTGCTTTGAATGGATAGCAGACTTGATAGTTATGGTATGGAATACAAACATTTCCACTTGAGTTTTTGTCAAACTGGTGAAAATACATGGGAAATGATCAGCAGTTGTTTCATTCCAACATCGGACAGAATGGTGCTGTGTTACTGCTCTGTTTGTCTCTAAGGAAAGAGACATAAAGTTTGAGCTCTGTATAGTTTACCAACATTTGTTGTCAAGGATAATGGTATTGCTAGAAAACTATAGTTCAGGGGTCAAAAGGCCACTCAAGTAGCTTAAGCTTTTTTGGATGTTACACAGAATATTCAGGTATTGGACCATAGATAGTATCCCTTCAGTCTAAAATTTTTCATACATGGGAAGTTTAATCCTTCTACTTGTGAGGAAAACACTTTGTTAATCAGCTATTAGGGCACAAGGATCATGGCTGAACAGCAGTTTAAAAAGATTCAACAATGATTATATTTATAATGCAGATATACAGAAATAGTATCTGGATCTATTGCAGTGCTAATATTGCAGTGTGTTAGGCTCCTAATATTCACACAACTTTCCTCACTCAAAACCTGATACTAAGGAAAATGACCAGAGAAATGTTACCATTTTCTCTTAAGTGTCATTTTAATATTTAGCATTTGCTTTGCTGTATGGTTGAAGCCTTTAGATACCTTGAATGTGCAGCATTCCCCCTAACTTGGCCTGTATTCACTGTGAACCTATTTTAAAAAGCAATGTATCACAATAGGAGTGGAATAGTTGTTCTCTTTACAATCATTCAGTAATGCAGGTTTGAGGAAAACACTTTATATATATTCATTGAGCAAATTCATAGCTATATGGTTAGCTATAATTCCAGATACTTGGACCCATTAAGAAAAACAGAATTTTCTTACTTTATTCTATATATAATCCTGTATCAGGATGCAAAACTGTGCAAGTGGTCAGACTTCTAAAATACTACCAAAAGCTGCCCTGTTGATGCTCACTTTAAAGGAGCTGTTTTATAAATTATGTCCAGAATCTATGTTCGCTGTTCTAAATGTAATGATAGTTTGATAAAAGTATTCAAGTGGTCATATCTATCCATAGACCATTTATTTTACATTAATGGAAAGCAGTAATACAAAAGTGGTTTATATATTTATTTAATTATAACCATGGTCCACAGAGTGTTTTCTGTATGGTGATTGTTTTCTTAAAATTCTTTTTTATTTGAGCTTGCATTATTGCTTCACCATCTGAAATGCAGTGGTTGCTTGCAGATTTGTGCAGTTGTAATTATTATGTCCAGTTTGAATTTTACATTTGGCTATCTATAATAGTATAGATTGAGTTTGAGATAGCAGTGCTGGTATTTGTGGCTTTAAATACAGGCACTAGCTATATTCTTGGCATTCTTTTGAGAAATTCGGGTATGGTAGCTGTCTATACTGATGTTTTTTTTTTCTTCCTGTGCTGCAAGAGCTCTTGCTGGATTTCACATGATTTCTCCTATTCCAAAGAAAAAGTGTAAAATTTGTTTTAGTGTCATGTATCAGTCATATATATATATTTGTGTGTGTGATGGACATTTGATAATGTGAAGGTGGGGTCACTATATAAATAAAATTACTTGTTTCCCTCTTTGAAAGGTCAGTCGTACGAAATCCGGCTGTTAGATAATCGAAAAATGGGAGATATGCCAGAGTTAAGTGGGAAACTGGTAAAGGTACGTTGGTGGTTCAGTCTTGATTCCTGACCATTTGTGATTCTGTCACTGGGGCTGCTTCCATCATTAACATTTGGGTCTTAAAATGAATCTAGGAGAGTATAGAAAATATCTGACACATATTCCTTTTTGTAGTTACAGGAACTTGCCAAAGGTCCAAACTTGCCAAAATCCTGTACTTGACTAAACCTTTTAGATGTTAGAAAGATACATGTAGGGTGGGCTGTTTCTTTTTGAGTATTCTTTTTGAGTACTCCCGGTAACATTAAGAACTAAGTAGTGAGAACTAATGTCAAAAACTGCTCACTTCTGAATGGAGCTGGTGTAGAACTTGAAGTTTGCTTTGGCAGTGTTTAATATGCTTACTGCATTTTCCCTATGTACGCAAAACATTTTATCTCAACATGGTAGTGTTCCCCTAATATTTACAGAATGTGTGTGTGCGTCTGCCTAGTAAGGGACTAGAGCTGAGACCATCCTAGTGTATTCATTACAGAAGTCTGAACTTGGTACTTTAGCATAGCTGATGCTCTAAACAATGCTGTACTAATTTAAGCTGTATGGACTTTATATGTGTAATCAAATGAGTGAATATTTGAATGTGACATCTTCAGGCAGAAGTGATCATGACATAATTATCTTTTATCTAGTCACTTAGCTGCAGAAGGAAAGAAATGTGTAAATCAGTTTCCATGCTCATTGATCAAAATGCTTTGTGACATATGTGAGTAGATGGATTGTTAAAAACCCTTTTGCACTTGCCTACAAGTTGACTTAGTAAGCGTTGTCAGCGTGTTTAGTACTATGTTTGAAATTGGATATGTGGTTTAGGGGCTTGTAATTCTTACCAGTTCAGATTGGCTCAGAAAATGCGAGTTGTTTCCTATTTTGGGGAGAACTGTTTCAGAGACAATCTGATACATGTTTTTGGTAGAAGATTTGACCATGACTACTCAATATTTACTCTCTGCTGTATTGAACTAAACTTTCTGGGAGATGTATAAGAATTTGATGAATTTCTGAGTAGTTATAACTTCATCTTGTCATAGCAGCTGTGAATGTTCATCACTTTAAGAAAAACATACCATCTGCCACCTGGCAAGTTTGTGAGGAAACTCTTGGCTCTCATGACTCCCAGTCCTCTAATCTGCTGGTGTTACCTGAGACTTCTAAATTGGTATAGGGCTGTAGTTGACAAAATAATTTAGTGTGAATGTCATAGGGTACACGAGCCCATTTTAGTTGAACTATACAAATATGAATCCACTCGTTTACCTCCCTTCTTGGCATCAAAAATGAAATATAAAAAGAGAACCAGTAGCAAATCCCTAAATGGAAACCTATAATATTGGAAATTGGGGGATGATACAGTGATATTCCAAAAGAATAATGTGAGCATCTTGCTGCATTATCACTGCTCAGTCAAAGAATCTGGTTTGATCCTAAATCCCATTTAAAGAGCAACTACAGATAATCTTTTCAACTGATTTATTAAGTCTGTAACTGAGAGGCATTTTCATTACAGAACAGTTCAGTGCTACCTCAGTGTTACAAGCTGAATCCAGATGATGATATTTCATTATGTTTTTATTCCACCTGAAGCTGAAAGTCTCACAACATTAAGTCACCCATCCATATTTCAACTATGCCCGATCCTGATGAGCTTCTAAGATTAGGCAGGATCAGACACTTCAGGCTGTATGGAAGCTATTGCAGCTTTTAATTAAGATATTTTTTACCCAGTTGTGTTTTAAAACCTGTTAAACACTCAATTACCCTCAGTCAGTGACCCTTTTTCTTACATGTGTATGTGTCTGCTAGTTTTATCCATTTACACACAGCTGTATTCTATTTATCCTCAAACACATATTTTTTCTCATGTGATGGGAATGCTCTTAGAGCTCAAAAGAATCACAGATCTTTTCCTGTGTATAAATTGGTATTCTCTAAACTCTTGTAAGTTAAGCCATAGCCTCAGAAAGATATGTTTCACTGGTCATGCACATAACCACAAAGCATAACATCACCCTAAATAAATAAATCTGGAGGTTATCTGAGAAGAGTTCAAAATTTTGTATATTATATACTCTTATTTGGTGAGTCACATGGCAGTAAAAGAACCTGGGTGGGAACAGTTTGCAAATGTGCCTGATTTCTACTTACAGGACTATAGCATAGTAATCATTTCAGCAAAGTTTCAGTTTGGGTCTTTAGTCTTTAAAAATACTTTTACTTTATCATTTCTGTTAGAGTATCATAAGAGTTGTGTTCCATGACAGAAGACTGCAGTACACTGAACATCAGCAGCTAGAAGGTTGGAAGTGGAATCGCCCTGGAGACAGATTACTTGATTTAGGTAGGTGTTTGAATTAGCCTTTTCACATGAAGAGGTGTTAATGAGAGCATCATTATTCTTCTGCACTCTGTTGTTAAAATTTAAATAAGTGCTTTAAAGTATATATTCCCGCATAGATTTCCATTACAGCTATTGAGAATTCTATATAAATTCATATAACCAAGTCAGAAGTAACAAACCGAGATCTGCATACAGAGTTTGTCTAAAGAAAAAGCAAATCTTGGAAGTTGAAATAAAATTTCTGTTCATTATCACTGCCATCAAGATATAAGTAAACAATAGAATTGGAGCTTTTCATTGCCTGATTTCCAAACGTTGTGTTTATTTTATATAGATATTCCTATGTCTGTTGGAGTAATTGACTTAAAGACAAATCCAAGCCAGCTCAATGCAGTTGAATTTCTGTGGGATCCTGGAAAATGCACATCTGCCTTTATTCAGGTTTGAGAATTTGTTATATTGGGTTTTAGTTAATTTTAGAAGAGTTGAAGCTCTTTTCTATTTTCTTCTTAGTTGTGATATGTCTAACCCATCACTGTATTAAGTCTTGAGTTAGTCACATAGGTTCCACATCTTAAGCATTATTTAGGTCACATAATACAAGAGCTCTGCTGGGTTAGAAAAAGAATCGGGCAAAAGGCAACATCTTTCTATTGTCCTCACCCCACAATTTAGTAGCTGCTGATACATTTAACCACTATGAAAATGTGTCATTTAAGGGGAAAAAAAGTAATCACCTGGTTCTTACATAATGATGGCTCATGATTGAAATAGCCCCCGGGTTGTCATTCATGAGCAGGAGAGCTGGTGCTCTTTTTCCCACATATGTGCCATTTTCACTTTTAATCAGCAAGCCTATGATCTGCTAGGTTGTAAGTTAGAGAGTGATGTGTGAACCCAGAGTGCTCACAAAAACCAGCATTCCGAGTTTGCACAGCACGCTCAACAAGTGATAAATGAGCCAGTCACAGGTTGTTGATTAAAATGAAAGTGGCTGGTGCACTGCTGACAGTTCATGTGCTCTCTCCATTCCGTTCTGTAAGTTTGTTTAACATTACATGTTCGTATTTTGTATGTAGTGATGCATTCCATAAGTTAGAATAGTGCTTTATGTGCAGTGGAAGCATTTTGGCTTCCCTGTAGGGATGTAGATTTTATAAATGACAACTTGTCTGCTTTTCCAGTAAAATTGTGAGAGCAGCAAATGAAGTGGTTGGTTTATTTTTTCAGGTACATTGTATCAGCACTGAATTTACACCTCGTAAACATGGAGGTGAAAAAGGAGTTCCTTTTAGAATTCAGGTTGATACTTTTAAACAGGCAGAAAATGGAGAATACACTGATCATCTGCATTCAGCCAGCTGCCAAATAAAAGTTTTTAAGGTAAGAGATGAGAATAAAAAATGTGGGAGAGAGACATCGAGGAAGCTTGCAGCACTATAGTTAGTTTTGTAATCCCTTTTTCAGCATGCGTTCTGTGTATAATTTTATTTGTAGCCAAAAGGAGCAGACAGAAAACAGAAGACAGACAGAGAAAAGATGGAAAAACGAACTGCTCACGAAAAAGAAAAGTATCAGCCTTCATATGACACTACAATTCTCACCGAGGTAAAAATATGAAAATGTTTTCATTTATAGAGAGAAGGTGTACAGTATTCATTACATACTTTTAATGTATCTAATGAGTTAAAGTCTCAGCGGGAGGGGCATAAAAGTAAGCTTTTTATTTGATAGTTGTATTTCATAGAGAAATAAAAACCTGCAAGTCCCCACAGAGATAGATATCATATTTAGTATTGCTCTAGGAAATCTCATGTACATGTCTAAAATCCCGTCAGTGTTGAAACACTGTGTCAGGGTTTGTTTTCTCCTTCCAGATTAAGCCCTCAGTTGTTATTTTAGAGGTTATTGAATTTATGGGCAGAGCCTCACTGGGCTTTTGCATTTCTTTTTATTTAAACACCAGTGAGTTTTCTATAGCTTTCTAAAGATTGCAGAAGTTTTTAAAAGGCTTTAAATTTTTTCCTCACTGTATAATGAAAAGAAATTGATCCACATCTTTGGTGTTTGTCCAGATGAGGCTTGAGCCTATAATTGAAGATGCAGTTGAACATGAGCAGAAAAAGTCCAGCAAGCGGACTTTGCCAGCAGACTACGGTGATTCTCTGGCAAAGCGAGGCAGTGTAAGGGACTTCTGCTTACTTTTCATTGTGCAAGTTATCTTGTGCAGTGTTAGATATAGGACCAATTTCTGTCATTGAAGATCAGAATAAAAAGATTTTTATCTGCCTTGGCTTAATTCACTTTTACTTACCCACAAATTACTTCATCATTGTACCTTAGTGAGAAATACTTCCTAAATCTAACACATAATAAAATGTTAGCAGGCCTGTGACTATTATTAAAATAAAGAGCTTCAGTTCACATACAAAATGGCTGTATTGAATAGCTGTGTTCTTCAAAGCTGTTTCCTCATACATAAATAATGGCATGGGAAGTAGCAATATTCACTTTAGATGTATATTCCTTTATATCCACTTGCAAGTTTCCATAAACAGCAGATCTTCCTGGCCCTGTATTTTGTAAAATTATTTGCAGTAATGATAGTTTGATTTTCTGATTACTGCCTTTCCATTTCTCATATTTGTATTCTTATCTAAGAGTACACTTTAACAGTATTTTAATGCACTTCGTCTGATTGTGTATTTGCTTAAGAGGCAAATATGTGTATTATGCACTTTTAAATGCAAGCTGGCAGATGAACATACGTCTTCACTAGTCCCTTACTTAGTGGCTCCTGTACATGTAATAAAATAGCCCTTCTCAGTTCATTAAGATGGAAGCACGTGCCTCAAAGGCTCTGTTCATATATACCCTTCTTCTTAAGCTGCTGAACTCCATCATGCTGACAGTCCATATGAAGAGTAAAGTTTAAGCTTCCCAATTCTGTTTGTTTGCCCAGTCATATTTAGTGTTAGCATGACTGCTCCGTCTGTGAATGAGATGACTTCTGCTGTGAAGCTGACTTATAAAATGGCTTATACGATATCAGCTGGTAATTTCTGCTGTATGTTATCTTGTGGAAAAAAATCAAAAATTCTTCTTAAAATTGCCATGTAACCTGTTATTCCTCAAAGGAATACAAGGCAGTGTTACATGGCTCTCCCTTTCCTCACGATAACTCTGTGAGGTAAAATGTGAGAAATAGTGATTGGCGCAAAGTTCCCCAGTTAGTTTCATGACTGGGAATTTTAATTTAGGTCTCCTTAGTCCTTAAATCCCTACACCTAATATGCTGTTTCTAGGTCTTGGCAACATTGAGCAGAATTAATTATGGCTTTAGGTCAGTGACCCAGTCTGTCCTCTCTACAGAAATTGGCAGGATCTTTTCCAGATATTCCTACATAGTTGTGGCCACAGGAAGAACTATACAGTAGCTTTTGTTTGTTTACTTTGTTCTTCCTCTTTTGCAGTGCTGCAGCCTGATTGATGAGGGGCTCAAAGAACAGTACTTTTGACAGACAGATTTCCTTGCATTGCTTTGTGGCCAGGTTTTAATTAATGTGCCTAAATAATGGTACATCCATGTTCTAGCCTTTATTGACTCCTGGTCTTCCCAATGTGTGCCATTATCCCAGCATTCAAGCTTCAGCTTTTGAAGCAGCCACTAAGTAACTTCTGGGACCATGAAAATTGTTCATAAATTGGCTGTAAGAGCCAGAGGTAAAACAGGCAACATTCCCATTTCTTAGGTTATTCTTGAACCCCTGCCATCCTGTAAGGCTGGCCAGTATTTCACATGATCTTCATATATTCTCCTTTCCGCAGAGCTTTGTTAATTGTTTTTCTAGGGAAGGGTTGTTGTAGCTGGATATGTATTTATTTTTCATTTAAGAGCAGGACTTTGAAATCTGCCATGTCATGATAACTAAAAGTAGCATAGTTAGGCTCCAGTTGAACTGGAAAGGCAGTTCAGGCTTTATGCTGTTAGGAGAACATGATCATGGGTACAAAAGAGTTGATTCCTTTGACTGAGAACTAATATCTGAGGGAAAGTAATAGAGAATATAGAGGGAATTGGAGCTATGCCCTTGATAGAGGTCACATGGAAAGTAAAATCAACTGAAAATACTTAGCATAGAGTCAAACACACTTTCCAGCTGATACGTTATTTCTTGAATTGAAGAAAGCTGCTTTAAATATGCACCTTCATGAGCTGCTTTAAATGTGCAGCTTCAGAAGATCTGTGCATTCTAATGTATAAAACACTTATTTTTAAAGCTAAAAAACTTTAGCAAGCAAGTAGTATCTTTGGTTGCAATGCCTGCTGTATTTAAAGGTTCCATAGCAGCAAACCAAATGGAAATGTGTGGTGCTGCAGTTTCCCTTACCATTAATTGCCAGATGTGAAATAAGGAATCTAGCTTGCTACAACTTCTTGTAAGATGAGGGTCATCAAAAGTTTCTTGAAGTGTTTTATGAGATATGATGAGGTTCCACCTGTTTTCTGGACAGTATCTATCAACATTGCAAACTTCAGTGGTATTCCTTAAATCCTTGGAATTACAGGATTCAGATAGAGTTATGCTTAGACTAGACCCAATAGGACAAGCTATGATTAATTTAGGGTGCAATCCCATGCATGCTCAGACAGAAAATCATACAACTCCTAGCATCCCTCCAGTAGCCATGTTGGAGGGCCAGGATTCCTTACATCAATTTCCAGGATTTCTTGAAAAGGCAGTCTTTTGTGTGTGTGTGTGTGTGTGTGTGTGTGTGTGTGTGTGTGTGTGTGTGTATACACACACTCTTAGTTTGTGGATACTTTCCTACAAGGTCTACTTTCCTTTAAGATAGTAATCTATTTTAAGGCTTACACATTTCAGAAAAACGGTAATGAAAGAGCTACATATCTGAAAAAATAATTTTGATTCAAGTATTAATTCAAATAGTTGATTGGAAATCAAGTTGCTTTGTGTTAGAACCAAAATAACTCCACTTAATTGAACAAATACTTTTAGATTATTGGTTGCAGAATTCTTACAAAATGTACTGTGCTTTCTTAGCATGAAATGTTCTATAACCATTCATTGAAGGCTGTCCTTTTATGGAATATTTTAGAAATTTAGACTATTTTCTGGAAATATGAGATCTGTTTGGTTATTCCTAATTGGGTATCATAAGGCAACAAATTACTGCCTTCATCTAACACAAAAGATACAGAAATTTTTGATTAAGTGACCTTTGGGTAGCATGCATGCTTAGCAATACATGATTTTGTGATAAGTAAGTGAAATCTGAAACTTCAACATTTTAAAAGTAGGATTCCTACAATGTAATGGTAAAACTAGTGTGTAATGTTTCTTATTTTTGTGTTTTAATGGTAAAATTCCTGCGTAATGTTTCTAATTACTCTAGAAAAACTGTAAATTTAATGGTAAAACTAGTGTGTAATGTTTCTAATTACTCTAGTGTTCTCCATGGCCCGATACACCTACTGCATTTGTGAACAGTAGCCCTACTCCAACTCCAGCTTTTACCTCTACTCCACATAATACTTACAGTGTCCCAGACAGGTATGTTTCTCTTCTGGGTTAACACTTCATTTTAAGATTAATGTGTAAAAAATATGATAAACGCTATTGTAAAAATTCTACTGGTGATTCAGTAGGAAGAGTAAGTTTTCTATGGAACTTTTATGTGGTGGTGGTGGTGTGTGTGTGTTTTGGGAGGCTTGGAGAGGCCTGTGGTTGTATATTAGGTTATGAACATTCAGATTAAAGCAACGTAAGTACAGCTAGTCTAGCCCTGCCTTTCAACAATATTCTTTTGCCCTGTCTGGGAAATTTCCTTTAAAAGGAATGAAGTTTACCGTGGGGAAAACTGCTAATAAGAAAAAAGTTGAGTTATTTCCCGCTAGATCACACCTTTCATTTTGTAAACTTCAAAAACAGTCGAGGTAAAATTAGTTTGTGATGTTCCTTTCCAAATCCTTCCTGGTCTAGTAATTCATCATCTCCGAATCACCAAGGAGATGGAGTTTCCCAAGCGTCTGGAGAGGTGAGTCCCAATTTCTCATGTTACCAAGAAATCCTCATGCTATATTCATTTGTAGACTCTTCGAAAATCATGTGTTTTAATACCATTTTATACAAAAGCTAAGGTAGTAATATTGTTTTTTTCCTCCCATAGCAACTTCATTCGTCAGCCACTATCCAAGAAACTCAACAATGGTTGCTTAAACATAGGTTTTCCACTTATACAAGGTTGTTTTCAAATTTCTCAGGTACTTCAACAATTCTAAGCATATATTTTAATTTTAAATTTAGGCACTATTGCTGAATTGCAGATTAACTACATCTAAGATATATTAAATTAGTAAACTATTTTTATCCTAATCTTTTTATCTCAAATCTAACCTGATTTCATTGTTTTCTGAATTCTTTACAATATATTTGCTCTTTATTGTCCTATTTTACAACATTCCCCTCAAGGAGTATAATTACCAGAATGTAAGAACCAGATTTCTAGCCTCAGACCAAGTTCACATCTAGTTCAGCATCCTGTTTGTTACCAGTAGCCTGTCAAATGCTTCTAAAAAGTCTGCAAAGAACTTAGGAATGGAACAGTCCTTTCCTGTTTGCATCCCAGCAATGAGTACTCAGAGGAATAGAGAATAGCAGCCCTCCCTGAAATTGTCTACTCCTCTTTAAAGCCGTCTGTGACAGTGAACTGCATAACGTGTGAAATGTGTTTGCCTGTCCTAAAACTGAGACTTAGTATTAAATGTAAGGGGGAAATGTGACTTCCCACACGGCGCATAATTTTATAAACATCCTTCCATCCCCATTCATCTTTTTCTAGGCTAAAAAGCCACAAACACCTTTTTTTTTTGTTGGGCGGACAGCCTATTCCATTGATGATTTTGGTTGCCCTTGTCTGCATTTTTTCTCTGCAATATCCAGTTTTGAAATGACTACAACCAGAATTTCTGTTGAAATCACCTCACATATTTATGTAAAACATCACAGTCTGAGAAATCCTACTTTTAGCCTCTTTCCTAATGCGTAATGTGTGCTTTTCTTTTTTAACGCTACTGCAAACTGTTTATATTGAGCTATTCCCCATAATCCTAAAATCTTCACTAGATGCTCACCATCTGTTCAGACCCTCTCAGTTTAGCAGTTAGGATTTTGTTGTTTTGTTTTCTATTCCATTTAGAAAGATCCTTTTGAATCTCTTTGAAGACTGCTTGAGCTTTCACTTTGCTGAATAATCTCATGTCACTTGCAAATGAGGCCATAATTCAGCATATGAACAAGTTAATTAACAGTCTGAACACAGTGCAATCAGTTTGGCTGTAAAATCAGAAAATAGAATTCTAGTGCATTGAAAGGTCTTTCATTCACTTTGTTTAACTATAGAACTCTTCCCCACCAAATAATACAATAACATTGGATCATCTGAGCCTGCCCTCTTCGTAATTAGCCATTGCTCAAGCATGCCTTAAATGCATGGGAATGTGGTGGTTAAAACAAATGCGAGATGCTGTGGATATACTGGAAATAGCCAACACTGCTCCTGTGATATGGATTATAGTAACTGCAGCCTCCTCTTTACCCCCTCATTGTCACTACCCCAGTCATTATGCTGCAGAGACATAATCATAACTCTGGCACAGGTTCGTTTTATTCTGGAGAGTGCAAGAAGACAAGGCCCTTCATTCTAAACTCTAAAGCACCGATGATACCCAGGCAGGAGCAGCAACACAAGAAAGACACACTGACAGTACAGAATTGTAACCTGAGAAACAGATCATATTGCAAGGCAAAAGTAGAGAATTTGGAGAGGAGGTGATAAGTCCAGAAGAAAAATTAAAACACTTTCTCTCCTGCCCTCAGCTTTTGCATCTAAAAAGAATATTTGCAAATATTATCTTAGGCAGGTTTTTGCTTAGATACAACAAAAGCAAAAGTAACTTTGATAGTTAACTAAGGAGGCTAGCCATAAGGAGTCCTGATATTTACTGGAAGAATACCAGAAATCAAAATACTTTAAGAATTTGGTATGCCATTTGACTTTAGTGTGAGGAAGTTGTATGTACAGAATGTGGATGTAGTGGATGTATTGATATTCCTGGCGCTACTGGCAGCGGTCCTGTCTAAATGTAGATATTGCTGCTATGCATGTAACAACTAAGTTAGAAAAAAGGTTTTCCAGCTAACTTTGAAGCCAACTGATGTCCAAACAAAAGTAGATAGCACAGTAGGTAGCTGTGCACAGCTAAGTCCTTTGGGGATGGGAGCACTAAATTGCAAACCATACCAGGCAACAGTGGCATTACCAGGATAGGTAGAACGCAAGGAACATAACACACCTTTCGTTTACAGGAACCAGTAATCTATGTAAGAATTATCCATCATATGCTTCCTTTATTTTTCCTATATCTTGAAGTTTGTATAAAACACCTTGCAATTATACTCTAAACTGTGACTTAAGAATGCAACTTGCTTAAACTTAATCAACATTTAGAATGTCAGGATAGTTGAGTGTGCCACCAATGTAGCAAAATTGTTATGTTAGCAAGAGTGGCTAGTAACTTGTGTAGAAATGTTGCTACAAGTGTGATCTATTTGTCAGTGACAGTATTGTTTTCCAACAGTTAAAAGTTGGCATTCCAGTTTAGAGATTATTTAGATGCTATTCTGTCTATTTCTGTAGGTGCAGACTTATTGAAGCTGACAAGAGAAGATCTGGTACAAATCTGTGGTCCAGCTGATGGAATTCGGCTTTACAATGCACTTAAATCAAGGTAAATAGCATCCCAATGTCAATTCTGCTTGTATCAGTTGTATAAGAAAGTCTGTTTTAGACTAGAGGGATTTGGGAGATATTAATTCAGATTTTCGATTGGCGTATGCCTGTGTGAGCTCATGCAGGAGTTGGAAGTACTGTGCTCAAAAGAAGAATGTTTTGTTGTACACCTTCAGGGCAGGCCACAGATATGATGCAGGCACTGATGAGCTCAAAGGTAGACTGTAAGACTGGTAGCAATGCAGTTGGGCAGTACTGATTTCTTGAAGACGGATGGGTTTGTTGCCAAGAGACAAATCTTCTCATTTAGGTGAGCTATAACCAACCTAAAGTTCTTGAGGTCATGGCTACTAAATATTAACAATTGCAGATTTCTAACTATGAATTAAGCTGGCATAATAGATTATGTTAACTTACTGTTATTCTGCTACTCTAGTAGTTGTATTACAAAATTGCACCATACACCAATGTCTTAATTGCTTTAGTCTTAAAATTGAAAATTAATTCAGCAGCATCAGACAATCTCGGTGGTTCTGAGATTAGTCATTAGACTAAACAGTCTTTAATAGTTTGCATCACATTTTATGTAGTTTGTAAAGAATAGTGTTCAAGTAACAAAATAAAATGGGCATGCGTCTGCAATATTCTGTACAGGAGCCCCTCTTATTTTTTACCTTTACATTCCAGGTCTGTAAGGCCACGTCTAACAATCTATGTATGCCAGGAGCAGTCAAGAAGTGTACAGCTGGAAAGGCAGCAAGGCTCAGGCAGTGGAGAAAGCAGGAACGGTGCAATATTTGGTATGTGAATTGTCTTTCTAAAAGTAGCTGCTTTTAGAATGAAATTTTCTGTTTCTATAATTTAGAAGAGTGCAAGTTGTTCATCACTTACACCTGGCTTGGGACCTTACAATAAATACTGTAGGAAACAATGCATTGCTTGAATAACTTAGAGGCTCCTAGAAGGGCAAAAAGAATGCAGTGAATAGAGCCCAGTGTTAACATCTACAACATTTATACCAAACTACGATCATGGATGGTAGACTGTATACGAAGTTAATATCACACTCTTGAGAAAACAACCCTATTTCACATTGTATTAACACACAGTTTCCAAACCTTGAGAAGTACCTCTTCTCTGAGACCATGTTCTGAGTATTGTTGCGCACACAATTTTGGGCATACACTTTCAAAAGGAACCTGTTGATCTACTATTAAAGGAAGTAATGGGAGTTAGGCATGTTCAGCCTGGAAAAAAGAATTACTGAAGAAGCATGTAGCCAGGCATCTACAAATCCACTTGCAGGAAATAAGACTACTCAACAAGACAGCTTCAATCCTTAGAGCCCCCATGCTGTGGCTTGGACAAAGTAATATAGGAGATTCTTGATACCCCTGTCATCTCTCAGCCTTGCCAAGATGAAGTCAGATCTTGTCTTTCCTGCAAATCCTCTGCTTTTGTACACTGTCATCTTGTGGACACGTCAGCATTGAAACATAAAATGAGCAAGGCTGTGTACACTCAGAATGTGCTTTTGCTACCTTCAAATGACAAGGACTCATGCTGCTCCATTTCTAGCTCTGAAGCATGCAATGGCATTTCAACAGAACCCTTGAGTGGCAGAGAGCTTCAGACCAGGGGTTAAAGCCAGCCCTCCTAAGGTCATAATATGGACTTCTCTGGTTCCCTGGAAAGCTTCCCTCAAACACTGATTGCTTGGTGGTTTTCTTGGCATTTTCCCTCTTTCTAAAATGATATGCCTTTCCTAAAACATAGTTATGGAGTGAGAGATTTAGGGTATAATGTGCTGGTTTTATGGTAGGAGGTGATACTTTGGCCATGCTCACCCCTGGAATGTATCTTCTGAGAGCTGCTCCAAAATTGAATTCAACCCTTGGTCTGAAAGATATTTACCACCCCTAGTCTAGGGATATTTGAGACTGAGAAAGGAATGAGGCTGGCTCTGCCCACACTTGGATTTCTTCTGGAAAAAACTATAAGGACTAAATTGCGCTGTTATTTAATTCCAGTCCAAGAATGGGGCAGAAATGAGTGGTGGTGTAGATTAAGGATTGGGGACCCTGTTTTAGGCAAGAGGCATCAAAGTTCAGTTTGTGCTCTACCTGGTTGAAACACTGAGGTTCCTGCCTTTTGAGTTAGGAAAGAAACAACATAGGAACCTAGGTCTTTAGGCTACAGGTTGCAAGCATATGCTCTCATAGATCTAAAATGCAAAACAGTTTGATTCTTGTGGTCCATATGATTTTTTAAAAATGGCAATACAGACTTTGTGATTTAGATTCCAGGAGCTTTCACAATAGATAGAAATGGAAGAAATCTGTATTTTTGAGGAACACTGCAAGAATAAAAGCTCTTTTAATCTTAGTTTATCATGCAATCTACTTGGAAGAAATGGCTGCCTCAGAAGTCACTCGCAAGCTTGCTTCGGTGTTCAATATTCCTTTGCATCAGATTAACCAGGTTTACAGACAAGGTCCTACTGGCATCCATATCCTTGTCAGCGATCAGGTAAATTGATTTATTTCCATCTATGTATTTGCATTTTTGAATTAAACATTCAAATACTAGAAAAGGTGCAACCTTAATGTTGGAAAGGCAATTGAGTGAGAAGTGCTGGTATCACAATGCTCTGTCCAGAACTATTCAGCACTTATATTGGTTGTTTTGAGCAGGTAGAAACTTGAGGTAGCTAATAGTATCAAACAGTTGTGTAAGAACAACACACACACACAACTTACTGGGTTCTGTTAGCTGAATTTTCTTGTCGGTTGCAGCAGCTAGAATTAGAAATAATGCATGGAATATTTAATGGTATATGAATTTTCTAAGTATACTTCCAAGTAAATTTAAAACTTGTATAATTACTGTTTGAGTCTGTATTTAAGGAAAATGAGCTCATGTGTACTTTTGCAAGTGACATGCGATCATACTTTTCACTGCATCAAAAACCAACATGGCAGCTGATTCTCATTCTTTGACTGAAGATCCAAAATTCTTACTAAAATTACTCATGGGCATATTTTTCATGATTGCCCCATTCCCTGCTACAACATTTGTTAATATTTGCCCTGTGTAAAATGTAAAGCATGGCCTTTCTGTATAAATTAGAGGCATAATATGTATAGCAATACTGTCACATTTTGTTATTCTATTATTATTATTTCTTGTAATGATTATGTGTTTTGATTTGCATGTGGTGACAAGCCAGATTATGGGTTGAGTATGCATTGTCACTGAATTGTGAGTTTTTGTCGCTTGTGAACCCTGTGTATGGGTTAACTATTGGTTGTTAACCACAAACAGACCATAGTTAAACCTTAGTACAGGATTTGCACATCATGATTCAATAACAATCTGTACCCAACCTGTACTGTAAGTTAATGTGCAAACCAGTTCACTGTATAAGTGATATCAGAAGAACTACAGTTTGGACTGAAGCAGAGTAAGTTGAAAGAATTATATTTGAAGAGGGAGGGACAAATCAGAGGTTCAAGTTGTTGTTTGTGGAACAGTCCAGCTCTCCTTGTGGTAACTTTGTTTCTAATGAGAGTGTGTGTGGTACATGGTTGTTGGGCACATTGTTCTCAAGGAATGGAATTTTTCTTCCTAGATGGTTCAGAACTTTGAAGATGAGAGCTGCTTCTTAGTTACCACAATAAAAGGTATGCTAATAATGATGACAGACAAAACCCACAAATGTTTTAAAATTTTGCAAAATAGCAGTATTTGCATTTTTCAAAGGAAGATGTTTCCAGTTCTTAAATCATACTGCATTGCCTCATCTTTCGATTTTCACTGACTTCAGTGAGTTTACCTATAAAGTTAAACCATAGACCTGGTTTGTATGATCATCATAGGTTAAACAAGCTATGATGGCTTGTTTCAGCCAGTTTGCTTCCCCCTAGCCATGGCTTGTGTTATCTGAACCCAGGCAGGATGGGCTTATTTTAGGTGAAAGGAACCCTCAACCCATCAACAGGCCATGGATTTTTCCTTCTAACAAGCCATGTTGCTCAGGTTTGGATTGTACAAGCTGTGGCCTGGCAGGTATTTTGTAAAGTGTGACTTAACCACTGAGGCTTGTTTCGCTTTTGGTATTCATGTGAATTGGCTTATAGTTTGAATGATCAACCACAGTTTAGTTTATCTAAGATGGAAGCAAAGCTTCAGTCTTCCTGGCTGATGTGGGAAGCATGTGAACCTAAGGTTCAGGGAAGCTTGACTTCATAAGGTTTTAATATGGCAGACAAACCAGCTAAAACTGTGTGTGTAGTACAATTCCTATCCAGAGATAATTGACCTGAGCCAAATAATTTTCATAACATGCAAGAAGGGTTTTATAAAGATTCCCTTTCAGTGTTCCTCTGAAACTTCAAAAGTGCATTTAAAAATCTCTGCATTTCAAAATACACTGAAAGGAAAACTTGGCAGTGTGAACATTCTTGTTCTTCAGAAGATGACGACATCTGAAATGAGTTTCTTCCACTAGTTTCTTGGGGCAAGCAACAGAGGCTTGTTGGCCTTGTTTGGGAAGTCATGGAATGTATTGCAGCCAACAAAGAAGCTAGAGCACATGCCGTAAATATTGAAATCATGTACAAAACATAATGGCTTGTGGAGTGAGGTGGTTAAGGAGGAATAGTTGAGGGAATGCTAAAAAGAAAACAGGAGAAAGATGAGAAAGATGGAAGATCGTCCCTGAGTTCTTAATAATATAACTGTGAAAAATAGTCTTCTGTTAACACAGCTATTATGGGCACATAAAGGTCTGCCTAAGTCTGTGGATGACTGTTGCCTTATTGAAGTGTTGCCAAAATAGCCTTGAAAAAAATACAGATATTTAGAAAATTGGCAATTTTATCATGGTTACATCTCTTGTGATTCCTGCTGGATCAGACCTAAGCATTGGGGTCACACTGTAGCCAACCACTTTCCTGTGGGCAGCTTGCAAGCAGGGCTCAAGCACAAAGGAAAATAGGAAGCTGCCTTATGTTGAGTTGGGTTGTTGGTCCATCTAGCCCAGTCCTCGCAATGCTGACTGGGAGTGTTGGGCCAGAGTTTCAGGTAGGAGTTCTTTTAGCTATCCCTGGAGAACTAGAAATTGAACTTGAGCTGTGTCCCCTTTGCAATAACCTAGTGCCAGTGGAATAGCAATACTGATATTCAGAAGCATATTGCTCCAACTGGAAGTAGAGATTATGAGTGGTAGACATTGATACTCTTATCCTCCATAAATTTCTCTAAATTTACCCTCTGTAAAGCTGTCTAGTTTGGTTGAAATGGCTGTTGGATTATGGCTGCTCCTGGGACATTTATAATGCTATACTACTTGATTTAGCATATGAACTGGAACAAGAGCAGTAGGGCCTGGGTTGAGCCTAAGGTAAATCACTGGTGTTCTCATTTCTTTTCGTACTTTTCCGGTGGAGGAGAATCTTTTTCCTATATTCCACTGAGTCTGTGACCTGCCTATTCTGGCAACCCAGTGGAAATGCTCTTTCTTATGGCTCACAACAGGATCTCCAGGTGCACAATTTATTTTGTGGTATATTTGCTTACTATTTTAGTCCCTTTTTTCTGGTCATGGGACACAAGAAACAAGCTCTTACTGTGAAACTATACAGTATGGCATCTTGGATATAAGGCTATGTGAAGTACTTATAAAATGATACAATAAAGAGACTTTATACTGTCAACTGTCATGTAACAGATAATGGCCAGAATGTAAATCCTGTATATGGTTTTTCCAAATACGGAAGCTTTTCAATTTTCCTCCAGAACAGTTTTCTAAGAAAGCTCTCCACCTAATAACATTTAAGGGGCTGCTGCTAGAAGGAAAAATGGCCACACCCTCTTCTCCATGCATGTGAAGAAGCACAGGCCTCCCTGGATTTCAAGTACTCTTTATTTTTACATTTGAAGGCCTGACCTTTATGCCTATACGTTTGCATACTGGAGTTTAGAAACCAATGTCCTTTCAGTAAACATTCAGATCTCAGAAGCTAAAACTACTAACATTTCTCTTAAAAGAAGTCTTAAAGTATTTATAGCTAAGCTTTGTACAGAATGTGAGTTTCTAGAACTGATGTGCCAAGTTAAAGACGTTGCATTCTGGAAGTCACAAAGTAAGTTTCAGGATGTTGTTTAAATGCAATGTTATTACCTACAGCAGCAGTTTTTATGAAATAATTTTAAGTAACTTGTACTTCTATTGATATAAATACTACAGAATAAATGGTTTTTTAATGTACTTTGTATTGGCTGATATGAACTTTATTTAACTGATAAGATTGGTCATTTTCCCCCTCTACAGCTGAAAATGGTGAAGGCTTCCATATAATTTTGAAATGATGTTGCCATACATAATGATGGACTGATATTCCAGTATAGAATGAAGTCATGCTCAAGAATGACACATAATACCGAGTTTCTTCAGAGATCTGACTTCACCGTATAGAATGTTTCATATTGAAAACACAAGATGACCTTTCTAATGAGCTGTTTAGTAGAGAACTTATCACTGCCATAGCCAAATGTCCTCATAAGAGGTATCAATGCCGCAACAGCTTGTGTACAGGCATGGAAAAAAAATAAGCCCCCCCCCCTTTTTTTTTGAAAAAATAATGGCAAGCTATGGCCAGTAGGTGCAGTTTCTAGAAGCAGTACTGCTTTCCTATTACACTGTATCCAGTTTGAATGTAAACTTACTCTGGGCATTTACCTTTCTGTGCCAGTTTGTCTATTACTTGCTTGTACCTTTATGCTGATTTTCTTTTTTTGATGTTAGCAGAGCACATAGTAATTTGTGTGGAGATAACTAGTAAAGATGATAGCAATCAGGTTTGGGGTATCGAGAGTAAGCCTGTCAAAACAGAATCCTCTGTATAAATTGTGTATAAGCGGGAAAGTAAGAAGTGTAAATGTCAGAGTTGGACTTCTTATTAAGTCCTAGCCAGATGAAAATTAAGCATGCAGCAGAACGCATTACCATTAGTACCTAATTGAGAGGATAAGATTAAATCCTGTGAGGTACAATACTTTGCTTTGCAAACAGGTTAAATGGAAAAAAATCTGCCTATGCATCATGTCTTTTTAGTTTTTTTTTTTTTAAATGAAGTAATGCTGCAGCTCAGTGTTTTCTTTTTCAGACCACACTAAGTAGTAGTGAGTTGGGACTTCCTTATGGAGAGAGTGGGGGGAAAAAGGAATGTCACTGTTACCAAGGGAAAAATATTGGAGCATTAAGCAAAAATCCATGAAACATGGTTTTATCTTCAGGTGCAGACCGGTACTTTTCCTTGATTACTTCCAGGTGTGAACTGTCACATCCTTTTTTCCTCTGACTCTTATGGGATGACCATACTTACAGTGCCTCTTCCATACAACCAAATACTTGACTAGCAGTCGCACATCTTAATGAACTGCAAAAATGTCCTTATGTTACCTGAAGGTCAGAGATAACTTCTGGATTCTGCATAAATACAGTTATCTGAGGGAGAGTAAGACGTAGCAGGTTGTTCCACCTTTGTGGTGTGTGGACTTGCTCTTTTTCCCCTGCTTTCTTTTGAATAACTAAAATCTTGAATGATGTAGTAAACAGTTGAGAAGGGGTAAAAGCAGCATGTCTAATACTGTTTTTAATTTAATTCCCATTTTAATATCCCCTAGACTCAGTGCTTAGTCTAAGTATTCTTTTTTTAAATCATTAAATTACAAAACTGCTAGGATGAATGCTTGCTTCCCCCCCAGTCCCCATGACCCAGACTATTCTGCACTGATGGGGAGGGAGTATAGCTTGTGAGCATAAACTGTTTTGAGTTGTTCTTGCTTATAAATTATTTTTGGTTGTATTTGGGTGTTTTCTTTTGACTTGATGTGTCATCTCAGCACCATTTCTCAAATTTGTGAAGAGTCTTTTGATTGAAAAATGTCACTCAATTTTAAAAGCTGTACAGTAGTTTGGTTCACTTGGATTTAATTAATGGCACCAGCAAATTTGCTTTTCGTTTTTAAATAAGATGTATACATTTCAATTTCAGTAAAAACATTTTCAAATAATTTTGTAAAGTATTTTTCTTTTGTTTTGTGAGATCTCACAATTAATATTGGATGCAAAAGTTGATACTTGACTATTGATTTGTAAAGACCTTTTGCTCCATTCTAGTTATGATTTATGGAACTGTTAATAGTAAGAATGTTCACTTACTTGAATGATACATATTCAGTTGAATTTGCAAGTGCTGTTGACATAAGATTGTAGTTCATATTGGGTTTTGATTTTGAAATGATTGAAGCCAGTGTAAATATGGATGCTTTTATTTAAGTAGTATCTTATACCAATTTTTTATTTGGTGCAAATATCTGCTTAACAATTTGATTTCCACAAACATTGACTTTGTTAGGAGTCAGATACATCAAAACATTTTTATTTGACAAGTTTTTGGTATTTCTCTTACAGCTTAATTACTTATAGACAATAGCAACTCTTACAGATATGTGTGCTGCTATAGAATATTCATCTGTGGCAGTAGAAGGAATAGTTTTTCAGTTATTAGCGTGCTTAATGTAATACACATCATCATGTATTTTATTAATTTTAAGTAGTCTTAAGAACATTACTGTAAAGCTGTTACTGCGTTCCCAAGATTGCCGCCTTCAAAATTCAGCATCTTCATCCTTTAGCTCAGCTGAATTGAATCATTTCAATATATCATTGTCAGCACACTGTTTAAAGAGCATTAAAGAAATACCTTTGAAATGCTGTACTACTTAGGTACAGTTCTATATCATATGCCCTTTTCTTTATATATATAGTTAGTTGCATAAGAATGTGCCTACTTCTCCTAACTTGATTTTACAAAAATACCTTACCTTCTATAGGAAAACTTTCAGTAGGCCCTTGAAAGTCGTCTGACTCCATGTTCAGTTTCAGTCAATAAACTACCAGCATTCAGACAATGCTGAACTGTAATTCACTGTTATGTAAACAAGCCTCAAACTCATGTGCTCTCCTGCTCCTCCTCCAGTACAGCCATGGGAGATGGCAAGCTTTGCATCCCTTTCCAAATAACAGCGGTCTCACATTATCTCAGAACCTGAACAAACTCTGATGTATGTTAATTATAGTTTAAAGAACCAAGCTAAATCAAGTATAATAATCACAGTTTTAAGTTTTGGTCATAATGCTAAATTGTATCTGACTGAAAATGGATGTGAAAGCTTTCTGATCTTGCTGCTGGAGAGTGCGGAGCACACAAGCCTGAACCTTTCCATGTAATACATAACCAAAACTTAGCCAGTGTGTAAATATTTACTGTGGAAAATGGCTTCTGTATGTGTAAAATCAGGTATGTCCAAGATGACCAACATCAAAAGAGGGCTGCATACACCTAACGCTGCTGCTGCTCATCTTTCTTGTAGTACAGCTTCTATGCTGTCCTCTACCACTACCAATTGATGAATAGAGTGGAGGAGGCCCCTTCAACAAAGCAAAGAAAGGATGCCTCAGAGGCCTTTGGAAAGTGACATTCACTACAATTTGAGTAGGTAAACTCAAGCAAATTCACAGAGCAAATATGCCTCCCAACACTTGGCGAATGATCCAGACTTTGATACACTGCATGCAAATATATTGTGATGTATCATGACTGACAACTTTCTATGATTTTTGAAGATGCTGGCTTAGATAGCAGTTGCAAATCTTTATTTTAGCATTCCAGATTTGCAACACTGGATTAAAACATACCTTATGTGACAATCACTTTTCCACTTTCTCTCAAGGTTTCTTGTCCTGTACAAATTGCTTAAAAGTAGAAAACAAATAAGCCCTTCAACTAGTATACATTATGCCTTTTCTATCTTAGATGCCACAACAGTCTGTTCACAACATTTAAAGAACCACTCTGAACAATTTATAATTGCCATTGGAAAAGCACTTCCAGGCTTTCTCAATGTAGTAAGTCGTCTCCTGTTCAACAAGTTAAATGACATGCTCTGTTTCTGGGCTTGATAGGCATATTAGAAAATTACCTGAATCATGGCCTGTTTAATTGACTAATTGATAGACTGATTTCCAGCAGTTGCTATCATTTTTCCTATTGATTGTCTGATACTTAGATTGGGGACACCAGTCATGTGTAAAAGAAGCATTAAATAAGCCATCTGTATAAATAATCTGTACACTCACCAGTACCATGTTGGTGTTGCAATAGCAGATATGCCAACATAGGCATTGCTCAGAGCACCCATATTGTTACCTGTAAACTTTACATTGGAACCATAATCAATACAGAACTTGATTTTTAAAAATCACTTTATAGATTAATAATGGATGTGCCAAGTCATTCTTTGCCTCATCAAGCAGCTTAGCACAACTTTTCACCTTTTAAAGAATAATGCAACAACGGCAGAGTTGCTGTCGAGTGCCTCCCACAGAAGGTGGTGGAGTTACTGGAGCAAAATAAGCATGGACTTTCACATCTGGTAGATGAGCCTGTAGACAGAAACTCACTTTTAACTGATAACAGCTTACAATTTATGTTCCAACATAGTAAAAAAATCACACTACAGTGGGTTTTACTTAATATTAGTTCTATAATATTGCATCAGGATGTATTACGTCCATTCTAGCTATATCATTTCTAAAATGAAGGTTGCTACAATATAAGCAAGTCAATTCTGGAATCGGGGCTTCTAATAACAAATTTACTGATCATGTGTGGATGAATCACTAGGGCAGAAGAATGGAGCCACCTATAAATAAAAAGATACTCCTGCAGGGCTTTCACTCATTTAGGAAAATGGGATCGGCCGGCATACTTCAAGGATTGCACATATAAAAAGGTTCTACTAATGCAAGGTTCCTGAACTATAATTTACCTGTAGCAATGTTTGTCTGCTTCAGTGAAAGTTGCTCAACCACAGAGGTTTTTTTTAATATAGTTCACATTGGCCATTCAGTTTCATAAGTAATTGAAGAACTAAGAGAAATGGCCCTCCCACTTTAACAATTTTTACCAGCCTCTGGGGAGGTAGCAATACTCTACAATGATTATTTTAGAGGAGCTTAAAATCCTGTGCTGAAAATTCTCAAAGTATATGTGTTCAGTTATGGAAAAGAAACACTTTACAAGCATTTAACCCTATCTGTGAATCAGAGGAAGTTGTATCAAATACAGATATCTGGTCCATGGCTTGACCCAGATGGTAAATGCAGGATGAAATGGCTCTGGGAAGCAAAATGTTGCCAAACAACAATTTGGGGTTGATGGACTTGGCATTCCCATTTCATCTCTAGAGAAAGAATTAAAAGTGTTGTACTTGCACTAACGTTTTACTAATTCTAGTCCAAATCATCACTTACAAAATTTGTTCTGTCCAGTTTCAAGCTGTGGTTTGGTGCAAACCAGAACTAGCAAAAATGGTGGTGAATACATAATGTTATCTAGCAGCTGTAAACCAGATGCCCATGAAGGGAGAAAACAAATGCATAGTCTCCTGGAGGGTTCTGATTCTCAACTTGCAATTTTAGACTTGTGCAGTATCCTATGACTGTTCAAGATAGGCCTAAACCACTTCACATGAGATTTCTGCAAAAGGTAGTTATTCCATGGCATTTTTGCTGAAGAATATCCTGGAACAAACTGTTTCTGAAAGTCTCCTTCTCCTGAACTGATATTAACAAAATGCAGTCACACACCACAAGCTAACCAGTAACAATATCTGGGTCTTTCTGACAGCCTTTGTCCTAAATTCATGAATTAACAGAACAAAAAGAGCCTTCAATAGAAGCTGTGTGCCCAAACTGTCTCAGCCTTTGATGTAGATTTATGAAAAATGCTAGTTATTGCCCTTTTCCAGAAATTCTTATTGAGGAATTAGAAGGAAGAAAGAGCACACTGTTTTTGTTGCTGGTTCATTATGTTCTGCTAGTTTGTTAATTTAAATAGCTTGTGTTGACTTCAGTATTGAATGTTCTTTTAGCTAAATGAATGTCTGCAATAGACACTTGATCAAGCAATATAACAAAAGCCTCTATATTAAAAATAAGCTATACATTATGAAATAAACATAAATGCACTTCAGTGAAGTAGCATAGTACATACTCTTATCCTTTTGATTCCTGCACGGGTAACTTGCTGACAGTCGTATAACTCAATTCTCTCCAAGTTGTGGCAGTTCTCAAGATGTTCTAGAGTCACATCTGTGATTAGAAGGCAGTTGTCCAGCTCAAGTACCTGGAGTCTTTCGTGTCCACATGTACTGCTGCTTAGATGCAGAATCCCATCATCTGTGATCAGTTCACAGTGGGACAAACTCTATAACAAAGAGCCAACCTATAAAATCTCATCAATTGACAGTTCTCCAACAGTAAAAAGATGCATCCTCTTGATTAGGAGTGCATCCTGAGATATGAACTCCTGTCCACTCGTTCAGGCTAGGATAGTGCTGCTTTCTACTCAGGAAAGTAGTGTTAGCCATAACCCTCATAGAAGAGTTTTTAAAAAGGCTAAACAAAATGGAGCCATCTCCTTTCTATGCTTCCCAGCTTAGTCTGGAAATTCCTTTCATATTTACCATTCATCTTCCAGCCTACTCTAACCTGAGCTTCAGCAACTTTTGTCTTGTGATATGGAGCAAGTATTCTTTTATGTTTCAGGATTATTAAGCAGAAACAGAGGCCTAGGCCTGGTAAGCTCATGACTGAGCAACAATCAGTGAGTTGGGCTTCATGCCAATCAAACGTTTGCTGGCAGTGCTCAGTATCCACTACACCCCAAAAACAGGTACAGTTGCATTGCCAGTGCCTATCTTTACAGAATGCTTTCCTACTGAGGTCTGCCTGGCATCAACACTCATCTTTTTGGCACTAGGTTAAGGCCAGCCTTTACTTCCTGGCCTATAAAGCCATGTTAGCTGCTTTAACATGTCTAGCTTTTTGTTTTAGCTATTTGTACTCTTGTATATTGAAAGTTACAACTTTATTCATGATATCTGTATACTATATTTTATTGTTTCGGTCATGAACTATGTGAACTGCTGTAAACCATCCAAAGAACTTTTGCTGTTGGGAGGAACAGAAATGAAATAATAGCTTGTGTTGTTACTGTTACCGTGTTTCCCTGAAAATAGGACCTACCCTGAAAATAAGACCTAGTCTTATTTCAGGGTAGGTCCCATAATATAAGCCCTACCCTGAAAGTAAGACCTATTACCAAAAATTATTGGTAATAAGTCTTACTGTTTTTGCTTACTTGCAGAGTGCCAGCGGGGGTAGAGGGCGCAGCAGGAGGATGCAGAGCGGCTTAAGCCGATACTTCCTCTATAGTCCTGGCTCCTGTGAAGGGCGGAGTGATATCAAATGCACTCCGCCTGTCACAGGAGCCAGCACTATAGAGGAAGCATTGGCTCATGTTGCTCTGCTTCGTCCGCTGCCTGTGACAGTACCGGTAGGCGCTGGAGGCAGCAGGCGCTGGAGAGGATCAGTGTATACAGCTTTGGGCAGCAATTGGAGTGCAGAGCAGGAGGGTGCACAGCAGAAAAGTGCAAGCAACAGAAAAGTGCAAGCAGAAGGGTGTACATTAAAAAAAATAAGACCTACTCGAAAATAAGACCTAATGTGTTTTTTTGAGCAAAAAAAAAAAAGACAGTGTCTTATTTTCAGGAAAACACGGTACTGTTATTATTCTTACACTTATTTTATTATTCAATGGCCTATTTCATTTCTATACTGATCAAGAACAGCTGACAATACTCCCTAACATGCAAAAGTTATAACAATTTAAATAGCCAAAACAGTTACAGTAAGATACTGGACTTGTTAAAAACAACTGATATAAAGGTTCTGTCATATGCAATCTGTTGAGGACAATCTTAACTGGTGCCAAAAAGATGGCAGTGGGGAGAGCATTCTGCAACTGGGGACTGTTCCTGGCAAGGCCCCCTCCCTCATCGCCACCCTTGGAATAAGGCCTCAGATGTTGATTGTTATGTGCAGATAGGCTTGTGTCAGGAGAGTCACTCCATCAGGTATGTGGTCCTGAATTGTGTAAACCTTTATAAGTAGGAACCAGCCTCTTAAATCTGGCTTGGATACACGCTGATAATGCAAGCAAACCAGAATTGGTGTTATATACACATAAATACTGGTCCCTGTTATTAGGGCAGCTCCACACAGAACACATTGGAGTACCTAACTTAGAGATTCCCAGACCATGAGGAGAAAACCTGACCCATGAATAATGCAGGGGACCAAGCAATATTCCCCCAACACCATCTTCTAAAATTGGCTATCCAAGTAGGAATGCAACCATTCCCGTGCGGTACTATGCCCCCTCATTCCAACTCAGTCACTCCAGAATACCATCATCAATGGCATCAGACGTCATCAAGGAGAATCAACAACAACCCTGACATACATCACCATATAGGGTTTCCATGCAAAACCTGCCTGGAACCCTGCCAAGTAATCAATCTAGATAGTCTGTTCCATCACTGTACTACAGCTGACTGTACATCATCTGTCCAAGGACCTTGCCCAGGAAAAGAACATTCATCACTGGCCTAAAGTGAAGATGGGCCAAGGGTAGATCCAGTGAAGATTTCTAAAGCAGTGGTCTCGCTTCTACCTTTTTCAGGTAGCTTAGAAGCACTTCCTAATCACTTCCCTTTCAGCTAGCTGTTCCTGTCTTGCCATTTTACAAACTAAGGCAAGTTTACTCACACCTGTGCACGTACCTTATTATCCTTAAGCTATACCCAGTTGAGACTCATCCAACAAAAATGGATTGGTGTGTGCTCTGCATAGTTTACCTGCTATAACATACTCTTAACTCCTGGCAAGATGTGAGAGATTTTATATTGGAAGCACCTTGCTAGGATATTACAGTAGGCCTTCCATGGACTTGCAGTGTCCTATGGAAAAAGCCATGGATAAACTGGAAAGTTCCACTGGGTAGCACACAGAGAAAATTGAGGAAGAGAAATGATGCCTTCACTTCCCTGAATACAGGCACTAATCAATATTTGATTTCATCTGTTAAAGTTTTTTTCAGTTTGAACTCATCCTAATTTGTTTGTACTCTGAGATACTCCATGGAGCTGTATGACTTCTATTGCAGAGAGAACACTTAGCAGCAATTATCCAAAATGGCCAGATAATTTCTACATTGAATAAATCAACCAGGATTTTGTTAGGACTACCAGTCATAATAACTGGAACCAACCTCTTAGAGCCATTACTCTCTGGGGTCAGCTCACTCTTGCAGCAGCAAAAACCTGTCATTGATTTGAATGTCAATAACAGGAGATCTGACCAAGACCAAAGGACTGATTCAAAGTCCTTCACCTTCAGATCATCATCATCAACTGAAAAACTACCGTGCTTCCTGCTGATATGTTGGAACAGTTCCATGGTTGTCATGGAGACCATGGAATACTTAGTGACCCCAGCCAAGCTCTCCTCCACATGAATGTTGTTGTCTCCCAAAACCAGCAGTCTGGGGGACCTCAAAATTATATCTGAGGCAGCCTCTGTCTGTTCAGGTAGGGACATGGCTAAGGGCATTGGATGGTACATCTTCAGAATTCTCAGTCTGTCCTGCTGGCCCAACATGAGATCCAACACTCAGATCCAGTAGTCAGAGAGACAGTGAGCTTGGTGAGTAAGAGGGGAAGAATTCTTAAAGAACATTATCCATGGTTCAGGAAGGACCAGAACACATCCACTAGCTGTCTGGCCTGTATTCCCCTTACCTGGCTAGTCCTACTCCCAATGCCAGGCCTCTTTCTACCTGCCATTCTTTCTACCTGCCATTATGTTGACTAGGGTTCCCCCAGGTCCTGCCAGTTGGCCCCATATCCCAGATATGCATCCAGGCCCTAAAAAAAGCAATCAATTCCCTGTCAAAACTCTGGCCAGCCAAACTTGTTAAGGTGTTAGTGGGGAAACCCTTGGGTGTCCCCCAAAGGGTGATCCCCATTGAGGTTACTGCTGCCCCACTTCTACCCTGAGTGATAAAGGCCTTTCCATAGTCGAGCACGGCAATCTCACATTGTTAATTTTTCCCCTCCTGTCAGCTACATCAGCTTTTCCCAGAACGCAGGGACAACAGTCCAGCACACAGCAGGAAACAATACAGAATGAGGGCCTAGCAAACAATAAGGAACAGCTCATCTGTCCTGCAAAGTGCCCCCATGTCTTCACAGTGGTTTCAGGTACTGAACAGCTCCACTCTGGCCTGGTAGATAAAGAATCAAGCATTGTGGACTTGCATTCTCAGCCACCTGCTCCACTCTCAACAAAGCATTTCCCAGAACACTGTTGGAGAAATTGCAAGGGAAAAATTTAGGGGCCGTCTTTTCAGTGCAATTTACAGGTAGCCTGCCATGACAACATCTGCCCTAGCCTCTTCTAGTTATGTGTGCAGAGCAACCAGAAGTGTTGCCAATTGCCTCCTCAAAGGCAGAGACATCCCCTGCCATGCCCATCACTAAAGGAACTCTCCATGCAGAACTCCTTGAGTAACATTTCAGGTATTTGCTAGCACCAAACTGCCTAATTAAACAGGAGTCATGCCAAGAGCCTATAGAAAGGAAATACATGAACATATATTCCTTTTCCAAAAGAATTTTGAACATCAGAGGAATGGACACATTCTGGTTTAAGACACAGATTTCCTAATGCTAAATATTCTAATGCCTTTCTACAGAAAACTGACCTCCTTCCAGGTTCCTCTTTTTGATAGCTTAGTGGCCATCTTGTTTCTTGCAGCTTCAGCTGCAGTAGCACTTAGGGGAAGCCAAAGGTGCAAAGTAAGACAGGGCTGTGATGGATACAACTGATGAAGTAGCTCAGTGCCAGTGACAAAGCCATCAACAGACCAGCAAGTTAAGTGCCTGTGTGAGTCAAGGAGCAGATTGAGGGGGTCAGGGCAGTTAACACTCCTCTCCACTTGCCCACCTATGTTTTAGAACTTCCCAAGTAAGAGGTGCCAATCAGCAAGTGACCAAAAAGATAAAAAGGTAAAAGGTTAGCACTGGTGATCGGCAACAGAAGCCCTCCTCCGGGAACCCTCTGTGAAAGATGTTAGGAGACAGGGTACCCGGAGGAGGGCCTTCTCTGTGGTGGTGCCCCGACTATGTAATGTGCATCCCAGAGAGGTCCACCTGGTGCCGTCATTATATGTTTTTTCGGTGCCAGATTAAGACTTTTTTTATTTAATCAATATTTTAAGATGTTTTAATATTGAATTTTATTATTGTATTTGCAGCCAGAGTAGGTCATCAATTTATTTATGCTGTTAGCCGTCCAGAGACGTCAGTAATTGGACGGCATACACATTTCATAGATAGATAGATAGATAGATAGATAGATAGATAGATAGATAGATAGATAGAGATAGGTGTAGGGCAGGGGTCTCAATTGCGGCCTGTGGGACGATATTTTGTGGCCCTCACTTGATATCAAAGTTTAGTGATACTGTGGCCCGCGTGTTTTTCTCACACGCACCTGCGTGAGTAGTTACCCTGGGTGCAATGTTCCCTCTAAGCTGCGTGCTGGGACGGGCAGGGCACAGGGGAGGGGCCCTGTGGCCTTCAAAGCGCCGGTGGCACCTGGGCCGGCCTCCGGGAGCAACACGGGATGAGCGGCCCACCACCACTGCGGTGAATACTTGATGCAGCCCAGCCTCACCCAGACTCTACTTCCAGTGGCCCCCAGGTAAGTTGAGTTTGAGACCCCTGGTGTAGGGGCTATCTAGGCTATTACCTAATATCATCATAGACACCGCTATTTGCTTGCTGGACAGAAAGCCTGGATATATATTCACTACAGTGAACGGCTGGATTTCAGGAAGTGTGTTTGCTGCCTTGAGATGAAGGCAGCTGACCTGAACAAGCAGAGAGGTTTTCAGATGAGAACTTTAGAGCTGTGATAACCTGAGAATGGGATCCTGTTAACAGCTAATTTGTTGACATGGAGAATGAAGATTTTGGCAAAGAAGAGGAAGAGGGAACCGGCCCTTAGAAAAGACACAGTGTTTGGGGAAAAAAACTGATATCCACTCTAACTGAGGATACACCAGTGGGAGACTGCTGACAGTGAGCAATTCAACTGTTAGAAAGACAGCCAGATGGGCTTCTGACAGGCATGCAGCTCACATGATGACTTGACTTCCCAATATGAAGGTAGTGGATGCCCAAATTTCACATAGACAGTGCTATGACAGAGTCATCAGCTGTTGTACACACTGGCATGTATGATGTGGAGAAATATAGTTAGGCAGTCCTGGAAACAAAATTGAAGTGCCTACATAGAAAGCCGAAACTCAAGACTTCCAATAGCTTTCTCTTTAATGCTACCTGTTCGATGTGCAGGACCAGCTAGGCAGGCAGAGCTGCAGGGCTTCACTTCATGTACTGGATGTGTTGGGCGCCAGAAAACACTGTAGGACAACCTGGGTCTGTACAAAAGGCACCAGTTCCACTTGAAACAAAATGGAACGAGACTGCTGGCACTTAATCACTGAAGTGGCACAGCAGCTTTTAAACTGATCCTTAGAGGAAGTTAACAGGAGCCAGGGAGGGTCCAGGGTGGGATGAGGCATCCCTAGAGGATATGAAATTGAAGATGTTTCTGACTGAAGTGATGAGGTATAACAAAGCAGTAAGTATGCAGTGTGCCCTGCTAGCCAGGCAGAGGCCCAATACACATGTGGAAATATGCATGCCAGAGACATTTGGATAGGGACCCCATATGCAGGTGCTCATATGCTAATTGTAGAAGCTGCCAGGCCAAGAAGGGGGAATCCTAGCATTTGTTTACAAAGTAGAACAGCAGGTCTAGTGAGCATAATGGAGATCTGGTGAAAAGAGAGAACCACTGGGATGTGGTTAGACAATATAAAGCTTGTGAAGTGTGTGATATATTGTAAAGCTCAGTTACTTGGATCATATAAAACAGGAGTACAAACCCACGTGTATGGGTTAAATGTGTGAACCCGGTAAGATACAGGATGTCAACTACTGGGTCTTAAGTGCCTCCAGTGAGTTCATTATTCTTCTGCAAGGCCACAATAATAAATACATAACATGGTATCATCTACAATATAAAGAAAAAAATTCTTTCAAGATTCTCTTTTCTCCAGAAAAGTAACATTAAACTAAATCAGCTTGATAGTCATCATTCAGTTCCAAGTGCAGGCCTTAACATGTTTGCAGTCAAATTCAATGGGAGACTCCATATGGTGTGTCCCTGCTGACAGAACCACACTGACTGCATCCCCCAGTGGAGTCAATTCAACTTCTCTAGTGCCTTGCTGTAAAATCCACTCCAGAGAGCTGTGAACCCCAGAAGAGAGGGATGCGTAACGGGGCTGCAAGGGGAAGGAGAGGATAAGGCAGCTGCATCATATGAATAACAGCTTGCTTAAGCCACACTGGATTATCCCTGCTTCATTTTAATCCAGTTCTTTTAAAAGATACACATTCTAATTTATGTAATAAAATATAATTTGATTGTTTAAAATCAGTTTTTATGTGACCTGCGCTCCAAGAGGTCAAAAGTGGAACTTTAAAGTCCTTTATACTTCCTTTAGCTTGCCCCATGACTGGCACTCACAAAATAAGCAGAGTTTATGTAGGTTTTTTACATGCAAAATTAGGTTACTTGGACTCAAACTTTTTTGTTTACATTCAGTGTACAAAAAAAAAACCCTTGCAACCTACCTATCAGCAGTAATACTATCTTAAATTCTCTAATTCCCAGCTTCCTTTAATAATAAGATGAATGGAGCACACTCTGGAAGAAGTGGAATGAGTTTATTTTACAGAACACAAATAAATTGTGAATAACTTACCAATGCTTCCAGTTTAGGACAATGAATGGAAAGCTGTATCAATGTGTTATCTGTTATCTAAAAGGAAAAATAAATTATATGTAGAATGGTGATGGGGAAAATAGGTCTTCTAAGACATTTTTATAACTTCCAAGTTATAGTTAGAAACTGAAAATATCACCTCTGAATTATATATTTCACTAGATTTGACACACATGCCTTGTACAAATGGTTCTCACCAGAACACATTCTTCTAGGTCCATCTTTTCTAGTTCATGGCAATTCTAAAAGTCAGAACAGATATTCCAGAATTAAAAACAAGGGATAATTTAGAATTCCATTATGACATTTTCATATTTCATGAAACAATGGCACATATTGAAAATTCTAAAAGAATAGTTTTCAATGTGTATATACAGGTTCATAAATTAAGGAATCTGAATTCACTATGTCCTACCTCCTAACCAGTGTTTCTGGGGTCCTGGATATTTTGTGGCAACACTTGTGACCCTACAAAAGTTTTGGCCTACAATTCCCACCTGCACTAACCAGCCCAGCCAATGAGGAGGGGTGATGGGAGTTGTAGGCTGCAACAACTGGATGGTCACAAGTTGTCCACCTCTGCTTTAGTCTAGCTTGCCTCAGAATGGTTGTTCTAAGATTAAGCTCCTGTTCTGAGCTACTTAGAAGAAAATTGGGATTGAAATTTAAATAGTATTAACCTTACCTACCCGTGCTAGAAGTGTAAAACCAGCATCAGTGAGATGGGAACATCTTGCAGCTTCCAGAATCCTGAAAAGTAAGTATTCTTAGATTTGAGAATATTGAGAAAGAAGTCTTTACACTGACATTAGGAATTTAATATACAATTCTATGCAATGGAACCAATAATGAATCAGCAGCAAAACATCCATTGCCCAAAAAACAGTATTTTACCATCTCCACAGGTAATGGGACTACCAATCTCAACTCCCACAACATGGCTAAATTCCCATCTCTATGACTGATGAATTTCCACAATTGAAAATCTCCTTGATTCACATCTGGTTTTTTTTTCTTTTTGGTGAAAAAGGTGACTGGTTGAAAACTGTGATAGTTGATTCAACCATGTTTTATCGTGTTTATAGTTCTGATGCTCTGAAATTCCCCACCTCCTGGTATTGCAAATCTTTGCACATTAGAAGCATCACAAGGCTATAAACCTGATTAACTGCCTGCGTTCATTGTTACTGTTTTCAGGCTAAAGCCGTAATTTATGCCATTGTTTTCAGGCTTAGAGCCATCATTCATGCCTTCATTTTCTCAGGGCTAAACAATCATAATGTGCTTGGTTAGGCTGTTAGACTAGAACTAGGGAGAACCAGCTTCAAACAGCTTCAAACTTTCACTTTTTGGGTAACACAAACTCTTGCCCTAATGTACTTCATGGGTGGTTATAAAGACAAGATGGGGAAGAACCATGCATGTTTGCCCTGAGCTCCTTGGAGGAAGGGTGGGATACAAATGTTGCCATTTGTTGTTTTTGGTAGTACCATACCTGATTGCTCTCTGACCATTGAATTAGTGCAAGACATGGTTCCCTGTCTTCTGAAGGGATTTAATGACTGGGAGCATATTACAGAAGTACCATAGCAAATTATATGCCTTGCAACGACTGCCTTGCAACAGTGACTCATGCGCTGGTGACTTCCCGTCTTGACTTCTGTAACGCGCTCTACGTGGGGCTACCCTTGAAGACGGTCCGGATACTTCAATTGGTTCAGAATAGAGCTGCCAGGCTGCTGACGGGGACTGGACGTTATGTTCACATGACACCAGTTCTCCGTCAGCTTCACTGGCTCCCCATTGAAGTCCGGGCCCAATTCAAGGTGTTGGTAATGACCTATAAAGCCCTAAACGGCTTGGGTCCTGGTTACCTGAAGGAGCGCTTACATCCATATTTGCCCAGTCGCCCCCTGAGATCGGCGGGAGAGGCCCTTCTCCGGGAGCCCTCCGTGAGAGAAATTAGGAGGGTGGCTACTCGGAGAAGGGCTTTCTCAGCGGTGGCGCCTAAGTTATGGAATGCGCTCCCCAGAGAGGTCCGCCTGGCGCCGTCGTTATTTGTTTTTCGGCGCCAGGCTAAGACCTTTTTATTTAAGCAACATTTTAAATGCTAAATACAATTGAATTTTATCTGGCCAGGGCGGCTTATTTTATAATGTGAGTTTTAATTAAGATTATTTTATATGGATTTTAACTTGTTTTATCTATGTTGTAAGCCGCCCCGAGGCTTCGGCGAATGGGGCGGCATAAAAATGTTTTAATAAATAATAAATAAATAAATAAATAAATAATACATCACTTGTTTTAGGATTAACAGAACAACCGAGGGCTACGGCTGCTGGATTCTGGGAAGTCAGAATACTGGACGGGGGAGTCATCATCATGAACCCCCAGTACAACACTTGTAATCTGTCATTACAATTATACCATGTGGCTCTTGAAGGGGCACTTTTCACCATAGCAAAGATAAGTGTTATCTTGGAGATCTTAATGAGGTGCCTGTGAATGAGTTCAGTATGAGATTGGAGAGGAACCCACTGAAGTATAAGCTGGCCCATGGCAGGATTGCTAGGGAGAATAACATAAGATCCAAAGTCTTAAGCTAGAAACAGAAGATCTGCTGAGTAAGAGGCTTTGCTGACTGAATTTGGATGTATTCTGATATCAAATGCATTACGCTCTTGGACATCTCTAGAGACACTCCCAAGTGAAGTAAAGATTGAAGGGTTCCATGTGGCTCTTTCTGAACTGAACTACCTTAGAACCTGCAGTCCTGGAAACAGGATGGTGCAATCCTGAGATCTGAATGAGCATTTGTGTCCTCAGAAGTGAGCTACCATTGCCAATGTGAACTTCAAGAAGACTCTTGGTGCTGATTCCAGATAGAGAGTGGTACCTCATATGTGAAAAATGGGGCAATGTCATCTGCTGTATAGCTGAGAAGATATGCCTCTATTTGATCTATCATGAATAAGAAGTCCCCCTGAATTAAAGCTTTTTTCATGGCTGTTTGGAGAAAAACACAGATTCCACAGTCCCCATCTTTTGCAGTTGAGTAATTTCTGGAGGCATTAGCTGTTCTTGAAGGAGGGAAAGGAAGAAACTACTGGAGTTGACTGAAACTCCAAAAATATCCATGTTGAATAGTGTTCAGAGTCCAGGTGCCTGGTATTGTCTGCTTCCATGTATCAACAAGGTACTGTACCCTTGTTCCTACATGGGCAGGAAGGCTACTATTGGCAATGAGTCTTAGAGGATGGGAAGGGCCCTATTCTACACTAAGTACTGCATCTGGTTCAATACAGGATATGCTTTGAGAGTTTATAGTTACAAGGCCAAAATATAGGTTTGCATCTGAAAGTACTTGTTTCCCTTAGAAGTGGGCTGAGCTTTTTTGTCTTTAGTTTCCACTAAAACATTCCTAACAGAATGTTAACAGAATTTTTCTTCAAGCAGGTGGGCCTGCTTGAAGGGAACAGCTTCCTTTGGAACAAGAACAAAGATTGCAGTGCTTTAAGCAAAGTAAACTTCTTTCCACTGTGGCTGCAGCCATGTAATGTAACACATAAATCATGGAACCTTGCATGTCATCTAAGATAAAGGCATAAGTTACTTCTAATAAACTCCTAAGTAGTGTGAACCTATCCAACTTCTTACTGTTAATAATATCCTCTATCCAAAGAAGGATAATCTCACAGGAAAACATAGGATGCTGTGGAGGGACCCGAAGCACCAAGACAGCAGCCTTGTGAGGCTTCATACTACTTCAGTGAGAGCCAACCCACTGCATTCATGGAGCTTATTTCCAAGTAAGTATGTATAGGAATGCAGCCTGACTTGTAGCAAACTTTTAAAAGTTCTGAGCAATACTCACTTCAGTCTTGGACAGTTCAAACCAAGGGCTATGAGAGAAGCATCTGTAAGGTTTGTACACCCAGAAACACAAAGGGATTGGAGTTGGTGACATCCTTTACAGATAGCCGCTATGCCATCATCTGATATTTGCTGCAACACACAATGGTGGAGAGTTTGAACCTCTAATATTAGATGATCTGTTTTAAGAAGTTTCAAGCTAACACAGTAGAGAGTTATACTGACTATGTCATACGATTTTACCATACTCAGATATAACAGCAGCATTCAGCAGCCATTTGTGGAGTAATGCACAACGTTCACAGATGTAAATGTCAAACCATGGTTCAACTTGAGGTTGTTTAACACAGGAACAAATGCTTGGGTTCAGATGTCATATTACTAACATTCAAATATGACATACATAGACTGTTGCTAGAAATCAAAAATGGTTTAAGCTTGCCGCTGCTGTTATAACGTCTCGAAAAAACTACCCTCAAATGTAGCCATGGATCTTGCAATTTATTTCCTAACATGATTTCATTTTTCGAAGCTGGATTTCTCTCCTCCTTGATCAGTCATCTCCTTTGAAGGATTGCATAAATTTAGGACAGCCATTTCTGAGCATTGTGCTGAAGGAAGCATGTAATCTAACAGAAAATGAGGGAGAAGCTTCCATCCAAACATGATGGAAGATACAGTTCACTTTCCTGATCTGTGCCACATCAGTCTTTTCCTGAAACCATATGACAAAGTTGACTGGCCTGCCACTTGCCCAGCTTAGTGTTAGACACCCTAGAAGATCAAGATCTTTTTATGTCTCCCTGTAAATTCTACTTTGAGCTGAAGGAGAGGTAGCAAAATAATAGAATGACTGCTTTTCCCACTGACAAATTGAGTAATAAGCATCCCTCTACTTTGAAAACTTCAAAACACAAATTTTGTAACCTTTGTAACTGTCACAAAACCAGCACTCTATCTTAACAGCCAAGGGGATAGTGCCCTTCCTTTGCCTTGGTTCTGTTTGCTTTATTTAATGAGAAAAAGTAGTCAGCCCTGATGTAATTAAGCAGCATATACAAAAGGAATTCTCACAGTCTATTTTTAAATGAAAAGGAGCTACAGGAGAGCAAAATTTTGAGCATAGGAACACCAAGGAAGAAGCACATCACTGTCCTGCACCAAACATTTCTCCACTTCAAAATTTCTCCATGCATACTGCTCCTCTGCCCACTCCACTCAGAGTCCCAGTTGCATATTCAACATGGGAATTATCAGGTCATCTGAGAGACCAGCTCGATTTGCCCGCCCCCCACACCTTAGCCAAGATGCAGTCATTCCTTCAGGCTGAATCAGAGGGAGAGATGGGAAGCAGGGCCTAAAAGACTGACTCCATTTTCTCCTTCTCTTCTCCAACTGTTTCCATTCAAGGGGGTTGTACAGGTATTTGAGTTGACTTATTTGCTTCTTTCTTCCATATCCCTTTTCCCTTTTTGTCCTGCCTTTCAGATGATGAGGCCAAGGCCAGGGACTGTCTTCTCATTTCTATCAGTATTGCCATAAATTGTGAAATCTAACAATTCAAATGATCAGAGTATGTTTGGTTTCAATCCTGATCAGGAGAATGGCTTTTTCAATCTAACAGACTTATACTGTCCTTCAAAATACTCATTAAAACCATGCTAAATAAATCGTCCATAATAAGTTGCTTGAGCAATGTATCTTGCCAATACATACTCTAATACAGTAAAAATGTAACAATTTTATTGATCTTTTAAATAGATAATTAAATGTATCTCAACACTTGCTTACAAAGAAATATGAAAAGACTTCGATGCAGCAGGTCCATGGTTTGACTCCTGACATCCCCAGGCAGAGCTAGAAAAACTCCTGCCCAAAATCCTGGAGAGCTGCTGCCAGTCAGTGTTGACAGTGGGCTAGACGACCCAAAGGATGGACTCAGTATAAGGCAGCTTCTTAAGTTCCTACGCAGTGCAATGTTAAGGTTTTTTTTAATGTGATGAAATATGGTGTTAGTGCTCAGGAAGCACAAGCTGAAGAAAGTTCACAGAATAAACTTCCCCTCCTACTATGCTGCACAGAAGGCTGCTCTGGAAGGTTAAGGGACATGCTGGAATGGCATGGTATAGAATCAGCAAGCTGCTGCAAGAAGAGGAGAATTGGCCAAATATCAGGCAGAGTTGCCGTGTATAAGTAGAACCAGTTTATTATTACCTGAACCCTCATGGGATGGAACTGAAGGGCTGCTTGCACAAAAGGAAGGAAGCTTCATTTTGAGCAAACCAGATGAAGATCAGCTCAGGCCTCTGTTTTACCTGGACAGTCCCTGCCTTCTCCTTACAAGGCTTTCTACTACCGACTGCTCTGTGGACAGATCCATATGAGCAGTTATTTCAACTGTTATTTGTAAATCAACTATTATTTTTAAATATTGATTTATAATTATTTTTATTATTGTGCCACTTTACTTGTAAAGATATAAGTAACTGTAATAAATATGCCACTGATTTTCACCTGCAGCTAATTCTCATTAGTGGCTCCAATGGGAAAAATCCCATGCTACAAGCTGAATCTTGCCTGAAGCTCTCAAAATGCTACTCAATGAAAATTAAGAATAGGATCCTATGCATTCTTAAGAACAAGTTCCACTGTACCTTACTCCAAACTAATTACTCACAGTCAAAATGCTCAGAGAAAAAAAATCAGTTCATTTTAAGCTGCACTTTTGAACTTTATTTTCAACAGTACTTACGATTTCTAAATAAATGCTGCTATTATAAAAAGTACTTACCATACATGACTGTAGGTTTAAAATAACAAGTTCATGGCAGTGTGTCTCAATATGGTGAAGTGCTTCATCTACTAGCTGTATTGATCAACAGAAAACATATTAGCAGACGCAGACATGGGCATTGCAATAAATGACTTACATTTTATAACTGCAACATTTTCTAAATATTCCAGATAAACAAACCCCTACAGTTCAACCTGGTAGCTAAGCAGGTTTGTACCTGTGTGCATCCTCTGAGAAACAGTGCCTTTAGTCCATTACACCCCTTCACCAGTGCTTCAATACCATCTTTTGTAATCTGATCACACCAGGAGAGATTCAAGAATTCGAGATTTTGGCATCCCTCACTGTATCAACCAAGAAAACAAAACATTAAGTTTGAACAGTTGTTCTAGTGGCAAATCCAGATTAATTTTTAACCAAGTCCTGGGTTAACTCCAGTGCAACACTAGAAATCCACTATTGCACAGGACTTTACCTCCCTCCTCCGACCTGCGGTCCTCTGCACTGCCCTGAAATCTCATCCAGGGGGTTTCCAAGTCACTTGAGCAGAGTTTGAGGACAAATTGTCTCTCAAAGCACAAATGGCCGGGCAAGTTGTCCCACTCCTGGTTCTGACAGAATCTCTGTTAGAGGAACAACTGTGTGTGGTAGCTAACCAGTATAAGTTAACTATCACCCCATAGCAAAATGATTTGAGAAAAAGACCACATACACTCATAACTATTTAAATATCAGGAACAGTCAGCACCAGTCACTATCAAACTATAATCTCAACAATTCTGCTTATGTTGAACAAAAACATACACATTATTTTACCTTAGACTTCTCAAAGAGCTGTTTGTGATGGAAATACAAGATGTCAAATCCAGATGTTTTAGCCTTGGGCAGAATTTGCTAAGACTGTAACAAGTGCTGTGAAGAAAGAGAGTCATTAAAAATCTATTCAATTTATTTCTAAAAATAAAGTTATTATATTAAATACCATCCACTTACCTATCAGTGATTTTTGTGCATCCATTAAGGTTCAAATGCTCAATGTTTCTACAGTTCTGTGCAAATGTTCTGCAAAAAAATCAGATAGTCCAATGAAGTAAAAAACTTTTATTTGGCAACACACTCCCTCATCAAGCATTTCTATTTAGCATTTCACAAGTAATCATCTCATATTTAACTGTTCTTAAACAGGCAACTTACATTATCTTTAAAACCTATCTTCTGTTCTGCTGCTTAATAATATTCATATTCCTTTAATTATATGAAATCATAAGAGGGGAAGTCAATGTTCTCCAGATATTCCTCAAGTAATCAAAGTTAATTCTAATAAGAAGTTCCAACATGCAGTTAATGATTCACAAACAAAATCCATGATTAGTGAAAATAACTGGTTGTATGTGCACCTAATTCTGCACAGGATCAGTTTTAAGAGTCTGATTCATAGCCTGATTATGTCGGAAAGTTCTTGCAGGTACTTTGTTCATCTTCACTGGCATCACCTGGATGCCAAGGCAATGGCTTCAAGAGCTTCTACTCAAGACCTGAAGGCCTGTGGTACCTTAATCAACAACTAAGGACTGCAGACTGGTCCATCTTATTGTAACGAACACCTAAGCAGGAAACATTAATAGCAGTAATGTGGCTGCATTAGCCTTCTTTAACTTGGTGCACTCCTGATGTTCTGGAGTTCAACTCCCATCAGTCCCAACCAGTATAGTCAGTTGCAGTTCAAAGCAATTGGAAGTCGGTGGCAGCTTGGGTAAAGTTGGCCCAGATAATTCTGCTGAGTAATGGCACTCTGTTAGAACCATTACATAGTAAAATTTGAAAATAAATAGTGGGCTCGGAGCATAAATGACCTGGCATGTTTTTCAGTTCAGGCTCTTGAAGTCCAGAGTGGGTCAAAAGCTAAGGTAAGCCAATTTGTTCTACTCAGACACATACTGTTATTTCTGACTTTCAATTATGGTTGTGTTTCTATTGTGCTGAAGATTTTGAGAGAAAAATGGCTTTCAATATATAATCTGTATCATCCAAACATGCACAAGTGTGCTAATATTTTAAAACACTACTTACTTCAAGGAAGAGTCACCAACCCCAAGACAGCCTCTCAGACTTAGTTGTCTCAGGAACCCACCACATCTTTTGGAAATATTTTCTAACACTCGGCCCTTAAACAGATGAAACAAATGTCAACTTCATATCTAATCAGACGGATTTCAAAAGGAGGTCCATGCCAGGAAGTATAATGTCTAAAACAGACAAGAAAAAAACAAAAAGTAAAACATTTTTTTCTTTTTAAAGGCTATACAATTTCTGCTTAAATTAATGCCTACATTCCCATCATGGATACTCAAAAAAGTCTTGTGGGAATTCAGCTGAACACTCACTTTCCGCAAGCACCTAATTTTTAGAAATAAATACTCCAAAACAAGAAATGCCTTCTTATACTAAAAGGAATCCAGTGACAAAAAGTACTTGCTAAATCAGTATCGACCACAATCTATCCTCTTTGCCAGTACTAATATAACCTATTTTGATTTCTACAGTGCTAGAGTTAAACTGAAAGTCGTTATTTCCTACCGCAACATCATTGTATCATAGGAAATTGTTTACAATAGAACTATCTGTGCTAGATTATGACTGTTGAGTTAGGGATTACTTTCTGATATAACATCTCCCCCTCCCCCAGTGATTTTCACGATCCAGCATTTATGAGGAACTGGAACTACATCATCCTTGTGTTACTAGAAGGGGTCAGTTTACATGTTGGCAGTGAAGGCATTAAGCCACAGTGGCTTTTTTCCCCTGCAGACTGTGACATTGTTTTTCATTTATGACCTTTAGCTTTGAATAGTGATAAAATACACTGACTTTATGCCCTACTGAAATGCTAAGATAAGTTCATTTCTTTGGTTCTAACTTTTTCTTGCTCTACAGTTTCTTCCTACTTCCTGCAAGATGTGAAAGCTTGGACCAAGTAGCTGTTCAATTATTTTGACAGGAATTCATGCTTTTTATAACAAATGAAGGTACTACAGTAACATGTATAAATTCCACTGCACTATGTCATATGCCCAATTAGTTATGATTTGCAGTTATTTCTGGGGTAGATGGAGTTGTGGGCTGCTCAAGCAAAACTTCCCATTCTTTGGGGCGTTGCTTAATTAAAAGCACATCAAGGAAAAGAAGAAAGAGGATTCTATTGAGCCTTGTAGAACTGGTAAAGGTAAGGAAGTTTCCACTAGAGAAATTACTGGGTAAATCTGCATCACATGATAGTTTACCATGGGTTATTTATCCCTGAGGAACTGCAGATCTTGTTACCATTATGAATATGCAACTCCCAACCTAGGATTAATTCTTACTTGCCATCTTATGTCAACCTGAGCTATGCAAGGATTGTTTAACCTTCAAACAATCCCTGACGGCCAGGCAAGCCCCATCATTCCTTGTTGGGGTTGCATATTCATATCGGTGGCCAGCATGCACCACAGCTCCTTGAGGGTAAACTAGCTCACAAGTGAACTTTGGAAGTAAGACTTGGAATAAGATCTTTCCATGTAGAAAATATATTTTCTACTTATAAGTCTAATTTTTAAATGTGTGCCTCCTCCTTTCTTATGTTTAGGCATTTATTGGAAAACTCTCATAAAAATAAACAACTAAGCACTGTTTCCAGTGGCAGACTGTATTAAATGCAGAAAACAAACTAATTTGTAAAGCAAGTATTTGTCATTTTGGTGCCATTGTTTTTTTTTATACTCAAACATTTCAAAGTACCTGAAATACCTTTAATTTTGTATTCCTAGAATTCTTGAGTGTGTTAACACTACTCTGAGTAAAAAAGTTGCCCTTCTTTTCAGTTTGCATACTATATGTTACTGGGCACATATTAATGTGTTAATAATCTCATCTATCATTAAAATATTAAGCATTAAAATTTTTATGTAATGAGAAATCTTACCCTTACCAGCAAGTTGAAGTCTTAGCACTGTGCATGAGATGTCACCAAAAGACATGCTTGGAAGTCACACTGAGCAAAAGATAGTGGATACAGGGAATATGCACTTTGTGTACCTTAAAAATAATCCAAACAGATGATTTTGGGTATTTTACGAGTGCTTTGGATGATTCCCCCCAAAATTCTTGATGTATGGTTTCTGCATTATTTAGTGATATATTAAATGGGCATGTTCCCTGCATGCACATGTACTAAACCCATGCAGGGGAGGAACCCCAGTAGCTCAACAGAATCCTGTTCCTGCATCTCCCAATGAGCAGGTATATACAGACTGCTCAGCAAGGTAGTCTGGAAAATGGGGAGTTCACATATGCTTCCCATGGCCTCATCCAACTTTTGAAATATTTCAACATTTTTACACACTTTAGCCTCTGCTTGAACACAGAGCCACTGTCAACATTTGGCATCCTTGGACAGTAGCCAAAGATACAAGAGCCTGGCAGGAGCCTCTGCTGATACCTTTTTGAAAACTGCCTGCATTTCAGAGCTGTCCACCATAGCAATTTCTCAGAATGCCCTGAATTAATGCTACTTCACGGGCACTGTGAGAAATTAAAGTGGTGGGTGTTTCTTAGATGTCCAGCACAGAACATAGTGGTAGTGCTGCCTATCCCACCTGGTAAGCCCAGTGGAAGGGAGGCACCGATGTGGGATGTACCACATTTTACCAAGGGTTCTCTCAAACCTGAAGCTCACCCTGTTTGAAGCTCATATAACATGACCAAGCAAAGAGGAAATACCAAAGTCTTCCACTTCCCCCAATGAGCCACTATACTGCCTCCTCATTCGTATGCATTCTGGGCACAGGGGAGAAACTCTGGGGATCCATCCGCATGCAGGCAGGCAAGGATCATGCCCTATGTGCCCATAATTTTTGTGATATGGTTTAAAACTTGACATAAGTATTCTAATAATCCAGTGTGTCTAATCTGTTTCTATAAAAATCCTTTAAAGGAGTGGATAATCTTTGCCAATGGGTCTGTTAAACTGAACATTAGTCTTTATGTGGCATTAATTACATGCTTTGAATGGGTGCCTAATATATTTAAAATATGAAGGCAAAATTATTGATGTACTACATGTAGTAGTCAGCTTAAGTTAGGTTTCCTCTTTCTTCTCTTTACTACTTGACTAGTATGAAGAGCAAAAAACAACACTGCTGCAACAGGGGTGGTGACAGCCCTAAGTCATGGCGGCATAAAGAGTGAGCACAATAAAAGCCTTCTTATATAATGTCTTCTTAATTTCTTTTTAGACAAACTAAAAGCTATGTTTTATTAACAAATAAATTGAATGCTTTAAAAATGCTATAAAGGGAAAAGAATGAAAACTTAGGATACAAGTATAAATATCCTAATACAAACTTCTAGGACTTTTGTGGTACAAACTATTTTCATCTATGAACCACTTTGTATGTAACCTAATCTATGATCCAGTTTATGTTGAGAACAAGCAAGCATGCTAATGCATGCTGTCCACCTGCTTCTGTTTGGCTCTTCTAGCAGTAAGCAGTAACTAAAACAAACCACTGAACTTCTGTTTGTGATTTAATTGTTATCATATCCAAACTGGGATTGTCAGCTTGTTGTTCTCTTAGCACACTTGAATGAGAAGCCAAAAACAAATTGACTTATTTCATATTCGGGCTTGTCAGAAAAAACCTAATGTTAAACAAACCAGATACCTTATTTAGCCACTACCACTGGGCAGAAGAACCCAGTAAGAAGCTGTCAGGCAGCATGTATCAGCATACTTGTATCAGTATTTCTCATAATCCAGAATTCCAGCTTATCATTAGGTCATAAGCCACACTGACCCAATCAGTGTGCAAAGTTCTGTTAACTAGAGAGCCAGTGTGGTGTATTGGTTAAGAGCATGAGAATGGAACTTAGGCATCCAAGTCTTAGTCCCGACTCAGCCATGGAGCCAGCTGGGTGCCTTTGGACCAGTCACTGACTCTCAGCCCAACCAACCTCACAGATTTGTTGTGGGGATAAGATTGAGCAGGGGGAGGAGAATTATGTAAGCCATTTTGAGTTCATTGTAAGAAAAAAGTGGGATATATATCTAATAAATAAATAACACCCAAATCTGGTTATTACAAAACCAATCTTCCAATAGATAGTGTTGAAGAGACCAATGGGATGTAGCTTTTTATTTCAAATAGGTATCTATAATAAGTTTAGAAATGAAAAGTACATTCTCACCTGTATATATTAATTGGTCAACCTTTTGAGAAATTTGCTTACACACTGTCTACATTCTGAGCACAGAATAATCATGTTCCATAAACACCAATCCCACAGTGCATATAAGTCAGATGAGGTTTCAAATAATTGCCTACTCCTTTTGACATCTATTAACTAGTTCCAAATACAGATTCAACCAGTACTAGTTATGAAGCTAAATTTAAATTATATTATTGTTCTCCTTCAATGTTTTAGTTTGACATTGCATAGATATTATTTTCAATAGCGCTGAAGAACTATAATATTACTAACCTCTACATCTGTTTGAAAGTTAAAAAGGTCTATTCTTTGCCAGTTACTTCCATCAAGGGCCAAGACATTCCAGGACTAAAATATATAAAAACACAAACATATGCATACATATGTATGCATTACATATGCATTTCAGATACCTTACAATAATTAGCATGATCTCTCCAATGCCTTTCTCTCAATAAGTATAAAGAGGCATAAAGAACTGAGAAACCATTTAAAGATGACTGACCATAAAAAAATAATTCAATAATTATTACTAATAATTCAATTGGGTGGCATTTTAAGGTCCACGTTCTTGAAAGGATGTAATAGTATAAGGAATGGACAACTCCCTAAATGAGTATAGAGAAGGTAGAAAGAGTCCTTACTTGGCATGAGGTGAGGTGTGAAAGCCCTAGACATACTATTGTTCATTACGACTACAACTTGCCCCATCTTCAATAATCCTCAAGTCAAATACACAGATAACAGAACTGTCCTATACCAGCTAGGGCAGAACCCTCACTGACTGGGTTTGTACTGCACTATAAACAATGGTAGGTTAAGACCATGGATTGTTTCAGATTAATTTGTTGTAACATCCAAACCTGGAACTGCTTTTTTCCACCAGTTTTTTTCCACAGACAAGTCACCTTGAGAACCCATGTTGGGTTGTTCAGGGCAGCTAGCTCTGCTCCAAATTTGGCAGGACATTTTCTCCTTTGGGCTCTTAAGGAGTTAGAGAAATGTCCAGCAAAAGCAACAAAGTCCTCTGCTAGTTTTCAGTAGTGCACCTGCCATCCTCTCTCATCTCTTGTCAATACCCTTCATCCCATATTCCTACGCATAAATATCAAGAAGAAAAGGACGTTAGAGAACTAGCCTCTAAGGGTTGAATGCAACCTAGTCTTAGTTTAAGAAAACAAGCCAATTTAATACCAAGCTAATGAAGCTGGTTTGTGTCCCTAATAATAGTTAAGATAAATCACAATTTAGGGTTTTGCATAATACTCTTCTGTAGTTAATTGAAAACAGAACTGAAAATTCCTTAATGCTGTAGGAGATGGGAAAGCAAGAGCCTGGGGATAATGATCCAAAGACTAAACTATAGTTAAGATGGGTTCTGAATCAGTCTACAGAATGTATGAAATGTTTATGGCAAGTATATAACAAAAACTTGTGAAAAACAGATGTCACCTGTTAGAAAATGTCATCCTTTTAGAGGCACTGGGCTACCAACTACTTTCCTTTCAAGAAAAAATGCCTGTAAATATCCTTGTTTTTCAGCTATAATTTAAAAGCAGGGTCTGAGACGATGAAACACAATTACATTGATTTTTTTTTTTTTTTTACATCCACAGAATATCCTTCACAAAGTAAACACTTGGCCGTACCTTAGAAACTTGTGCACATCGACACAAAGTAATTATGTCCAAGAAGGAAAATATTCTATAAAAAAGGGGAGAAATAAAGCTATGATTTTCAATAATCCAGTCTAAGAAGGTCATGTAAACAAACAATATACATAACACATATGTACTGTTATATATGCTTTATATATACATATAAAACGGTTTAGTGATTAATACTAACTCTTTCAGAGTAACCAAAAACTGTTTCAAAGCAGTTGGAAGATCTTGGTTAACTTTAAGCTTTGCATAAAAGTACATGCAAGATGTATACACAAGATGTGAAAAATACATACAAGGATTATATAAAATAATCTGTGTATGCGTTTCTAGTTGAAATCTTTCTTCAGATCCTTCTATTCCCATGCATTTAAGTTTAAGAAAGCAATAGTTAGCTGAATGCTGTAGGGCAGGTCATGATTTTTCTGCCAAACTATGTTCTGTTTGGTTTAAAGTACCACCAAAGGCCCTATTTTGCCTTGCAGATAGTGCAAAGCAAAGACTGTGCTTGTGGTCCGTGTTAGTACCAATCACATGAGGAAATGTAATCATGATGTTCTGGAAGTCAAGTTTAAGCTGCTAGGTAGAAGGCTGAAATCCAGAACATCAAGGTGGCCTTTTCTCTTCCAGGCACAGAACCAACTAGACAGGCACAGCTGAGGAGTATTAATGTGTGGATGAGATAGTGGTGGAGAAAGGAGGGCCTGGAGAGGCCTGGATTTTTAATACACTGGGGCAGCATTTTGTGACAAGCCATGCCTGTACAAAAGGGATGGACTCCACCTGAACCAAAATGGAATCAGATTGCTGGCATACAACATAAAAAGTAGCAAAGCAGCATTTAAAATTACTCCTGGTGACAAATCCACCTGGAGCATGGAAGCATAGAATTTGAGTTAAATCACCCCTCATGGATAAAGGAAGAAAAATATCTGATTGCTCAAATGAAATGCTCCACTCCAGCTTGAACTCCAGGAGGATACCATATGATTAATGATATCCAAATCCACTGAAAGAGCAAGGAGAACCAACAGGTTCACACTACACCATCTCTCTCCTGAAATAAGTGATCATAGTAACCACAGCAAAATCTGCTTTGAAGCCTTACTGAAAGAAATTCAGATAATAAATCTTGCTCAGGAGCTTCTGGAGCTGGCAGGCAACTGCCTGCTCAAGGACCTTGCCCAGACCATCAGCCTGAAGTAAGCCATCCAGAGACATTTTTTTAGTAATGGGACAACATAGAAAAACTTTAACTAACTAACTAAATAAATAATAAAATAAGTTGTTAAGATTTCCTGGTCCAGGAAGATTTCTTTAGGAGCAGCCTTACCATCGTTGGTCCCAAGACCCAAGACCTACTCGCAAGAAAGCCCCTGGTCAAACCAGCCATTCCCTCCGTTCCAATTTAGGCCTATGGTGGCTGTCATAGCTCATTTTAATTCAGGGGTGGGTAATACATGGCTCTGCCACCTCAACTGCAGGCCCTGCCACCCCTTTAATGTTAAATGAAGAATGGTGCCAGAGCACTACAGAGATCAAAACGCTCACACTTGTTTGCAAGCTAAATTTGCAACTTTTAGGTCTCCACAGCTACATTTTTGGGTCACTCAGCAGACTTGTGGTGGTGGAGAGGAGTTTCAGGAAGCAAAAATGACCATTAGTTCTCCAAATGTTAATCTCCAATCTTGATTATGAAAATGACACAAAGAAATCCTGCCCCCTTGTGCGACTGATTCTCTAATCAGAACTTCTTTCCCTTCCAACTGCCTTAAGGTGAAAAGAAATCAATGCTAATCATGGATCTCCTACATCGAATCTGTTTCAACTCTGAATTGACAGCGTCATCAGTTTTCTATTAGTTCTTCTATAATTTGTTCACCAAGAATTTTCCACTCGCATTTTACTATACACATAAAACCCCCTGTATTTATCTACCCACTTTCTTTCATAAATACTTGTTTAGTACAACTGATACTCATTACTACCAATGAAAAATCTATTGCTTTCTTGCTGTACTGATAAGCTTTTTAAAATGATCCCCAAATCAAATATTAATACATTTTACAGCAAATGCCACGAAAAGCAGGCCTATTTTAGGTATTCTCTAAAATGTAGCATGCATTTATTATCTCAAAGAAAATGCATTCCAGCAGAACTATTAGGTTAAAGCAATGAACAAGTTGTCTACGATTACCTTAATAGAAGTTCTTTAGGTAACTTTTTGTTAATAAGGGCCTCATCATCATTTGAGAACACCTAATAAAGAAAAGAGTCCATAAACAAGTTTCAAAAACACCTTTAAACAAACCATATATTGATTTAACAGAAAATCAAAAGGATAATTTCACAAGAATTAATTAAAATAACAAATAAAATGGTCATAAATCAATTTTAGCAATTTGTGCACTACAATTCATTGCAGGTCATCTTCTGCAGGACAAACCTCTTTGGCTCTGTAGGCTCTCTCAACCTGGAAATTTCAGTGTCTGAGCAACTCTAGAGGGTCTCTCAACACTTTTTCAACAAAACCCAAAGTATTCCATTCCTGTTTTCTGAGCCACACCTAAATGTAAGTTGTTTCAGTAACTATAGCCCTCAAGTCATTGAATTTCACTCATACAGCTTCCAATTCAGCCTGGAAGTTCTACAAGGTGGCACCTACCATATAGGTTCCTCTGCTGCCCTCTTCATCCAAGACCTATCACTTCTACCACCTCCATCCTATCAGTCCTCTCAACCACAGCCTTACCTAACCCTACTTTAAGTCTTACAATGCTTTAGGATCATATTATCCAAGCTATGAACATTAAAGGCAAAAACAAAACAAAGAAGCAAACAAAAGAACAGAATGGAATTGAAACATAATTCTATTATTTTTCTACAATTACTTGTGAAGACAGGTGCATTCTGCCGCATGAATTTTTCACATATAAAGTCAGTATTTAGAAGGCTTGGGACCTTTTAAGAGCATTGCAAGGCTTACAACTGTTTCAATTTTATAAGGAAAGAAATAAAACAGGCAAGGCTTCACAGCAAGACTTCTCTTCCCCACCCCTGCGGCTCCCCAAGGAGAATCACAGACATGGAAAATGGCCGAGATGTGCTTCGAAGAATATTTTACTTTCTGCATTTCAGAATGCTATTTGCATTTAGAATACATAATAAGTAACACTGTAAAAATGCAATTCTAACCAGTACTGAGAGAAAACAGTTCCATGTGTAACTGTAAAAAGAAAACAAGCTTGACTTTCTAACTGAATAACTGAAGCATAAATATTAACTAATTGCTGGAAAATCTCAAGAGAACATGAGGCAGAAGAGCGATCGTTGATCCAATTAGATTAGTTTTCCCATAGTTTTATATTATATATTATTATATGTGGTCATTTTAATATTCTCATGATTAGGCAAAATATATTGTTCTGATGCTTTGAAAATGTGCTAGAACATAAACACATGGCAAGGAAGTTAAATTTAACACCCTCAAAGAGGGTGTACAAATGAGAGGAGTTGAACAGTCTAACTTCTACAGCCTTATATCCTCACAATCAATTTTCTCCCCAGCTGTACTCATTTTCGTCACAGGAAGCAGGCTTGGGGAAAGACATATACACAAGCTGGTCCAGACTGTTAGTTTCTTAAACTGAGGGTCAAGGTAAATGTGATAGCAGCAGACATATTAGTTAGTTCACATAGCTGTTCATTCACAAAAATGTGGGCAGAATGGATCTACTTTTAACTTTGAGAGGGTTGTGTGGGTGGGGAGAGTAAAACAATTGTCCATTGTTCCAAGTATTTTTCTTCCATATCTGAAGCTAGGCTGATCACAAAGTAGTTAGTAGTTACGGATTCAGGAAAGTGGAAGGATATACCTTCACTTGTATATCCTTCTTTCTGATGATAAAATTAGAGCCACTCACCCTCCCACACAGACTTCATATATGAATGAGAATGATATGTGAGTAAATGTACCTGTCATTGTCACATCTAGCATGGCCTTTAGAGAACAGTTTTCTAGTGTAAGCCAAAACTGTGCACACTTACTTATCTCTGCAGTGGCATGATCTGGCCAGGGCGGCTTATTTTATAATGTGTGTTTTAATTTAAGATTATTTTATATGGATATTTTAACTTATTGTTTTATCTATGTTGTAAGCCGCCCCGAGGCTTCGGCGAATGGGGCGGCATAAAAATGTTTTAATAAATAAATAATAAATAAATAAATAAATAATATGTACAAAATGTAAGAAAATACAGTAGGGCTGCAAGTAGAAAATATAAACATCTGAACCCACAGAAATATCTATGAATTAGGAAGAGAAATTGTGACATAAAAGCTTTGTCTGGAAGCTGAAACATCCTCCAACTAATGATTCCCTCCACCAACTCTTGAGACAAAAATGTTTTAAAAAGTGGGTACCTTCCTTGAGGACTGTTAATCTTGTTATCTTCCTAGATATAATGAACTGAGTGGCATAACACATCAGTGTCTTAAGATGACAGCAAATATTGGGTTAGTTTGAGCAGCATCATACTCTCCTGCTATAGATCTGAACATTAATAAATAAAGCTGTATTCCTATTTAATTCCTTATTTATTTTTCATTTCAATGTGCAGGCAAACACACATGTTGCAAACACAAATGCAGATGTCTCCCATCTGCTTCCCCCCAGAATAGAAAAATGCAAGTATAGTACGCAGGTAAGGCTTGAATTCTCCCTCCTGGGTAAAGCTTGTATGCTTGGATCAGAAGTATGACATGGATGGAAAGGGTCAAACAATTTTCCCTCTACTATTGTACTAATTATTAGCAGATATAGATACAAATCTTCTTTTAAAATGATGCAAGCGCAGCTGCATATAACAATCCTTTAATCTGCCCACTGGGTCGGAAGAGAGAACTACACCCCTTTCCCCTTAAAATGTTTTGCCTAGACTTTTGTCCTTGTGAAGATTATTTTTAGTCATAACTAAATAGCAGCTTTAAGAAAAATATCAATTTTAAGGGATAAAGAAGAGGTAGTTCCCTCTTTCTGCCCACAGTGCATTTTAAAAGAGCCCAATGCTGTTTGTTTACAGAGATCTGACAGCAAAGTGATTCTACCCATGGATCTATTGCTGCCTCATTTAGTTTGACTTGTAAGTGTAGTGATCATATTTCCATATAGCCCTGTTTTATATTTCCTACTAGAACAATATTTTATTTTCTTGCATTGTTGAGTTAAATGCATAAAGTATCCAGATTAGTGTTCTTATATGCTACTTTCTAAATGTCTATCCCAGACTGCAGTGGGAAAGAGTTTCAGGATGGTTCACACCAAGTTAATAAACACAGCTGATGATATAAGATAATAAACAAATTACAGAAAATGAATAGTAAATGGCAACACTAAAACAATTTTATCTAGAAATTAAAAGACTTCTAAAAAATCTTTACCCAGTAAAAAAGACAACAAAGTAGGTGCTTCCCTGAGGGAAATGTTCCAACATGGAGTGCCACAGACAATACATCCTTCTCCTCAGCTACTAACTGCTTCATTTCAGAGAGCAGGGGGTACCAAAATGCTTTTTCAACTACTCAAGTACCTTTTTTTTGTTCTATACAGCTTGCTAAAACCAGCAATTTGAGCTGTGCTATTAATGAATTCATGAGATACAGTCTAGTTAGTAGCCTAGCAGCTATATTCTGAATAAACTGCAGTTTCTGGTTTTCAAAGGACACCCCATGCTCTACATTAATCTAACCTTGATATTATCATAGAATAGTCGTTCCCAGACCATAACTAAAATTCTTTCAATAAAATAAGACCAAACAGCTTACTAGACATAACCATAGACTGAACTGCTATAACAGTAGCATTCAGATTGCTGAGAATGCAAATTATTTTTTCCTCAAAGTAGTTGAGGAAAATGTCACAGTAGTGCACAAGGGATCCTTTGTATCAGCTGAAATCCCTAAACCACCAGAGAAAGCATCACCTGAGAACACTGAGAGGATACATTGGAGGTGAAGGAATATTTTTTCTTTACTATCATCATCATCATCGAATAGATAAAATGATCTATCCATACTTGGATAGATGCTCTATAAGCACGAGGAGGAGGAGGTTGATAAGATATACCAGAATTAGTGATAGGGCATCAAGTGAAACAGTCAAGCTGATCAGCTAGTTAAATACCCATGCAAGGAGAAGCTAAGTTCAACCTAATTATTGAGCAAAATCCAAAGCCAAAACAAGGCTATGGAAAAGGTATTGCTTTAAAGGAACAAAATATTGTGGAGAATTGATTTTTCAGCTCTGTTCTACAATGAATTTTCTTCCAGGAGCATAGATTGAATCCAGCTTTTAATATAGCATAAAGACAAACTACATAGCTCAATATTGACAATGTAGAATTGGCTAGCAGAAAAGTCTATTTATGAAAAAGAAGCACAGGCATATATTTCAGTTAAGGCTTAATGTAGGTATGCTTTAATTTTTAAGCACAATTTATAAAATAAAGTATATGTTTAGATCTAATTTCAATGTAAAAGACCAGCTTTCTAGAATAAGTAAGTCTAAAATACACCAACAGATTTCTATTACGTCAGACCCTTGCATTTCCAGAGGGTTCCTACCTGCCACATCTTTTCATCAATCCCTACTTAATCCCAATCTTTGTCCATAATTCTTCTTAAAAAGTAACATATTCCAAGCGCTCAAATGCCATAAACTCCCCTTTAAAATTTCACTCACTGTAGTTTATCGATACTCCCTTGCTTTTTCAAATAAGACTCTCCTGGTCCTGAGTTTGATAAAGCTAATCAGGGTTATAAAAACCAGACATCAGTTTCTGCAAACATAACTCCTGCCTCACCAACTTTTCAGAGTTCTTTGAGAATGTCAACAAGCATGTTAATATAGGTGATCTGGCAAAGAATGCATTAGATTTTCAAAGACTTTTAACAAAGACCTTCATTAAAGATTTCTGAGCAAACTTAGCAGTCATTGGATAACAAAAGATGTTTGGCTATGAATGAAATTTTATGTATTAAGTTTTGGATCAGATACAGGCACAGTAATTTAGCACTAGTGAATATTTTCATAATGTAATACACAAATGCAATAGGGTAATTTATTAAATCCTTTGTATAAGATTTGATTTTTGAAGAATCAAAAACCTGTGGTTGTACATATGACTACAATTAAAAGTAGTAAGGGCAAGAAGTCAAGAACAGGAATGAATGGATAATTCTAATTCACACAATGCAGAATGTAAACAACTGGGACCCCCATGATCTATACTGAGACTGGTGCATTTGTTCATCAATGAATCAATGGAGTTATAAGTAGACAGTGAGGTAGCAAGGTCTGTTAATAACATCAAATTATTCAGGGTGATAAGAATGATACTGGCTTGCCAAGAGCTCCAAAAGATTTCTTCTAATTAAGTGGATATTAAAACCATAAGTTCATTTGTATATAAGCAAGTATAAAGTGCTGCACTTTAGGTCAAACATTCCCAACTTCACATATATACAGATAGACTTTGAGGTGGCAGCGGCAGGGAATCTTGAGGTTATAGCAGTCAATGGAAACAGTGGCTCAAAGCACAACAGCAGTGAAAGAGGCCAATTCTGTGTCCCACATGATGTAGTGATGTCCTTCAATCTGCATAGCTTCAAAAGGACATAACAAATTCCCGAAGGATGAAATTTATGGGAAGGTTTGCACCATACAACAAACTATGCAACTTGTGTGGCAGTATGTGCTGTTTGTCCCAGGGCCCACAATGTGCCCAACAGACACATTGTAGACTCCTGACTACCCCCTTCTCCTCTCCTGAAATCCTCCTGTGGACATCAGAGGCAACCCCATGGGAGCACCAAGGTTTTCCTTCCTCCCTGCCACCAGCATTAATCAGTTTTGGGCCTTATTTTCATTTAAACGTTTCATTTTTCTTTCCTTTTGATATTACAGAAGATGCCTCTCAAGACAGCTTTTGCAATCCCAAGTTAGTCATCCCAAAGCAATATCTCCAAGTGCTCCTGTGATGCATTGGAGAGGCGGCTATTCCCCACCCAAAATTTTCATAGACATTTGTGAAAAATAGTTGTATTGTCAACTGTGTACAACTGTGGGAGGCAATCAGGACGCTAGAATAGCTAAGGGGCAGAGGGTGCCTGCTGGCAAATTCTGGCAAGCACCTACTCTGTCCCTGTCCCATAAGAGGGGAGAGCAGATAAGTAGCTCTCCCCCAACCATTTCCATTTTGAAGCATTTTGACAGCATTCAAACCCATGCTTCAAAAACCCAGGGAGATCAGGGCTTCCAAAAAGGGGGACTCAAACAGCAAGATCCCTCAGGATGTCTTCCATTAGGAGTAATTACACCCATCCACCACAGGGGAACTCTGGCCATTAATTTTGCATGTTCACAGAACCAGTGGGTGCAAAATAAAGAGGACATTTTGGGTACATGTGCTCCCTCCAAAAATCTTAAGACTCTTACTATTAAAGGTATTTTACACACAAGCGCATGTATATGTACAGTGGTACCTCAGTTCATGAACTTAATTTGTTACATGATTCTGAACAGAGTCAAATTTCCCCATAAGGTTGTTCCATTCTGAACCATATGTATTTTTTTTAACCACAAAAATATGAAACAAAGTACAGTACAGTATGGAGAGAACACTAACCTTGATTGAGGTGACTTCTGGCATGGAGGACAGGAAGGTGGGCAGGGAGGAGGTTATTGTTTGGAGGGAGAGTCTGCGACCACAAGCTCGACTAGAGGAAGTTTGCGACTATGAGTCAGAGCAAGGAAGATGGCCACGAACATGTTCGTGTGGGGAAGATGGCCACGTTTGTGTTCGCAGGAACACGATTACAGCCATCTTCCCCGCTCGAACACGTTCTGACACATGGTCGCAGTGTGAAGAAGATGGCCTCGATCAAGTTCGTGCAGGGAAGATGGCCGCAATCGTGTTCATCACCCGATGCGGAGTTTGTGGATGGAAGCAAATTTTTGCCATACTTTATGTTTGTGAACTGAATTGTTCGCAAACAGAAGCGTTCATGAACTGAGGTATTATTGTTTGTGTTTTACAGCCCAACCTCTACAATAGATTTGAAGAAGACTATGAAGATTCTTTTTAGCAGGGCCATAGACATCATCATATTCTCACATTAGGAGAAATATTGTGATTTAAAATGCAGTTGCAGTCTGGACTGGTCAATGCATTACTTTCTTTACTGCTTGACAAGCTTTGCCAGTACTGCTAGTGCCTGCTTAGGGTTCATCTGCGGGCGATTTGGCACGCTGTATCTCTTGGCACCTTAGGTGACTGCCCAGTTTGTTTCCTCAAAGAATTGGCCTTGAAACCAGAACCATCTAGATGAGAAGGAGAGCAAGACAGAATCCAGATCAGGGATAAGCAGAAATTCAAGATCTACTTGATTTGCAGTGGATCAAGTATTTCTTACACCATTGTTTAACAGTAACAAAAGGTTGAACTCCCAAATTATACTGCTGAAATGAAAACCTGTCTAACCAAAAGTGGATATTTATAAAGAACAGGGTGGGAAACCTGTTGGCACTCCAGAAGCTTCAACCTATATCTTCCATCATGCTTTACATCTGACTATGCTGGCTGCAACAGATAGAAATTGTAGGCCAACATACATGGAGGGCCACCAGTTGCTTAATCCTGGTAGAGAGCCTAAGGGCCTGATCCAGTTTTGGTATTCAAAATTGTTTCATAGGTTTAAAATTCTTTAATTCTAAGTGCCTTTTGTACTCCAGTGGTAGCTCTCAGAATTCTAATAAAAAGAAAGCACCTCATTGTTTTGCACATATGAAGTAACAATGTGAAAACTGATTTAAATCCATGATTTAAACCAAGGATTGGTTAAAGATCTTTTAACTAATAATTTTATTTTTCTTGCTGATTTAAATTGCCTTGCTTTATCAGGAAAGCAAGCTGTAGCTTGCTGGTGTTTTTGGGCTACAACTTCATCATCCTAGATAATTGTCAATCCAGGTAACTCACATGTAGATAAAATACCTATTTGGACACTTAAAAAGTTCAGATTTTGCTTTCTGGGTGCAATGGAAACATACACAAGCTTTGTGATAAAGGCACAGCGTTTCAAGTAACAAGTATGCAATTACCCAAAGTTACCTATTAACTTCAATATGAATTTTGTTACACTCTAAATACTGTTGTAAATATTTATGAAAAAGAGCTTGCAGCTGTCTATTCCAACCACACCCTGCACAATACAGAAGGACTCGTCTCTTCAGCTTTCGATCATGTACTGCTTTCCCCGGGGAAAGCTGCTGGGTGGTGTGTCTCCAACCAATGTTTTGCTTCTCCGACCTCTCCACTTCCACATATGGGGCACCATCTCCCACCCACCTACCAGTTACGCCTCACCCATCCCATAGTCCCTCCATCTTGGCACACACCCTGTGAGCCTCGCGATCCCCCACACGCACATCCGTGTTCTGCCGCTACCGATGAAGAGCACGCCCGGCTCGCCTTTCCGCTGAATTCAAACTACCCCCACATCCTCCTCAGCGCAGCCTGTGCCCCGCTTCCCCGTCCCCACAGCGGCCGCTTCCACGGACCTCACCCCGCCGCCCACACCCAGAACTTCCACCTCCATGCCGAGCCCCTCCCAGGCAGTCGCCTTCCCCGCTCGCCGCCGCCGGCATCACCGCGCGACGACCCGCTCGCTCTCCCTCCACCCAGTACGAGCTCCACCCTGTCGGCCTCGGCCAAGCCATCGGTTCGCGATCGTGACTGCCCTCATGACAATTATCAGCCGCGACTGCAAGGGCAGGGGAGAGCGGAAAACGGGACTCCCGCCAACACGGGCTCCTTTTCACGAGCCCCCACCTCAAGGCAGGCACGCGCTGCCTTGGCGCCCCTCCCGCCGCTGCGCGCGAAGGGCGGCCGACGGTTCAACAGCCTCCGAGCGGCCGTTTGGGGAAAGACTCACCATGGTCCAAGGCAGGGGAGCGACACCGCGGGCCGCCCGTCGTCCCGGGTGACGGAGGAACCGCTCGTGAGGGCCGACCAGCCCGGCCAGGTGCGGGACCAGCACTCGCCCCCCCCCCCCCCGCAGTGTGGAGAGCGGTGGGCGTTGTTATTCCCGAGCACGTGACTGGAGGAAGTGCTCTGCGGATTGGGGACCCGACGGCATGGGCGAGCGCGCGTGACTCGTGCGGACGCGAGGACGACGACGGGGAGGAGGTGGGGAAAGGAGCGCGAGCGGACGGCACCTGAATCAGCGGGAGGACCAGCGGAGCTCATTCTGATGCCCGATGTCGACCTGAGCGACACCCCAGACCAGTCCTCCCCAGACCGGAGCCCTCTGGATGTGTTAGACTACAACTCCCATGACCCACAGCTACTATGCCCAATTACTGTGCAAGCTATGATCGGTGGGAGTTGTAGACCAGCGCATCTGGAGGGCGCCATCTTGGAGGATGTTGATTTGTATACTGTTAACAGACCGCTATGGGATGGGAGTTAGAGCAGTGGCTTCTTTCTGCCATTCAAGTTGCACCCTGCTTATCCCATATTTCGTAGGCCACCCTTCCCTTCTCAGAATGTAAATCCATTCTGCCCTGGATCTAGGCAACTGTTGCAATCTATAGGATGCAATGAATGTAAAGGTGTGTCTTTCTAGCATACTTGCGCTTAGTAGGGTTACTTTCAGATAGAGCTTGTCTGTGCAGCCACAGAGGTACTGGGGCAAATTTATGAGCACTTCCCAGGTACTCTCTTGTTCCAATATGGTAACAGAAATCCCTCCAAGTAACAGATTTCCCTCATCAGGGTCAGATAAGCGAGCCAGTAAACAAATGTTCTGCCTTTCAAGGAGAAGGTGTCACACTCTTGATAACCTCTAGTTTGGTTGATTGCAATGGGCAGGTTTGCACATCATGCTAAGCCACCCTGGCAAGCCCTGGTGGATTGGTTGTGTGAACAATCAGCAACATGCTGAACAGATAATCAGGCTCACTGTGGGTTGTTCTCCCCATCAGTCCTCTAGCCAGCATCCCACAATAGAGCTGCATCACCAGTCCTCTCCCTTTTGATATCACAAGCCCTTTTTGGCTCACCCCCCCCCCCTCCTTTGGAGATTACAAGCAGCAGTCACCACACAGAGCACATTGAAGAAGTTGTTACTGATTAGCCATCCCTTTAAAATGGACCCACATGTATGCAAATTTCATTGTGTTTATTAAATAATTTTAGTTGGATATGTGCATTTTCAGGGGTTCAAACCTGGACCAGGGCTTGGGAGTACCTACTGTCAAAATGCAGCATGTATCAACCCTGAATTTTGAACCAGAGATGTTCCAAATAGGGTCACACACACATACTCACTGCTTTCCCTGAACAGCTGTCAAAAGGAAAGCTGTCAGGGGAAGGCAGTGCAACAAGTGATCTTTGCGTGCAAAGGGCATGGGTGATTTTTTTTTTTTCCACCCTTGAACTTAGATTCTCAGGAATCTGCCTCCTCCTCTATAGGACCCAGTGCCTATAACTTTTTCATCATTCCTGAGACTCTAGATCCTCAGGAAGATACAAATGTGCACTCTTTTCACTGATACTTGCTTTTGGCAATTATTGCTAACACACAATTAAGGTCATGTTACTTTCACCCTCAGTTTATATCTGTGTCATCAGAGAATGAGTGGAGCATAGTGGTTGAAATGCTGGACTAGGACACTGGATATCCAGGTGTGAGTTTGACCCAGTCACTAACTCTCAGCCTGAGCTACCCACAAGGTTGTTGCAAGGTTAAAATAGAGGGAAGGATTATGTAAGCTGGCTTGGGTTCCTTGCATGAAAAAAGCCTGGATATAAATAAATAAAAGCTGACTATTCTCCCAGCAGATTCACTGAGATATGTCCAATGGCTTTATAGTTATAGGGTAAGCACCAAAGGGACACATGTTACTGCTACTACTATGATTTAACTCATATGTAACATGAACATTAGATAAACTGTTATCAGATCTTTTACCAGGTAGTACAGAATCATCATAGAGAATCTTTGGACATGACTATTTAAATTGAAGGCACTACATTTGTAATATTTATAAGTAACAAAGACTATTTGCCAAGGAAGCTTAAAAGCAGAAATGGCATGAAGATGATGGGAGAGAGCTTTGCTTGCAGTATTTCTGTTGGTCAGCATCTATTAAAGGCTCCAGAGTCCTTGCAAAAGGAACTAAAGTACACTAATAAAAACCAAATCAGGTTTACTGCAGAGATGTGAACATTGCCAGAATATGATTGAATACCTCAGTTAAGTGGGTGTGGGACACTACTCTTCACTAATCTAACTAAATAACCATGGTCACATGCACTCTCCCTTTGGCCTGCTCACTCACTGATGTAATGCACCCACTGAGACATTTCCCAGATTGGAATTTTGCCCTTGGACTGAAAAGGTTTCCCTACCAATAACATCCAGTAGCAACTTGACTCAGCCTCACATGCAAACAAGTGTCATGCAAATGATACAGCTTGTCCTGTGCCACCAGTTTTCATTGTGGATCATGGTGTATATACTACTGCTTCTCTTAGAAAAGCCCCAAGAGAAAATGCCTAGTAAAAGACATATTTTAGATATAATTATGACTATAAAAGGCATATCTATGCTTTTAAATCACTACCACCTATATCTACTTTACCAGAATAAGCATCCCCCTCATATTGCTGCCATCGTCAAGGGTGGATTTTTGGTAATTTAACATTTTGGATGCCTTAGGCATGGTTACAAAGAAAAAACCCATGCAATTCCCAGCATGCCCCATCCAGCCTGGAAGTTTTTAAATACTGCAAGCATATACAGTAGACTCTCAGTTAACCAGCACCCATGGGGACTGGTAGATGCCAGATAAATGTTGTTTCTGGTTGCTTGAGAGTTACTATTAAAAATAGGCTTAATAAATACTGTACCCCATACCATACCATAAACCCTGTATTGATTTGATATTAATATTGAAATACACTAATTAAAAGCAAATGAAGACAAAATTCTACCTTCTGAGATTGAGCCTTAGTGTCAAGATCATTAATGAACCAACATTAAATTCCCCCAAGAGCACTGCCCAGCTTTCACCTTTCTCAAGCGTCTTGCATATTTTCATCTTCTGCTTGAGGGTAAGCACTGTGTGTTTATGATTACTTTGGACTTGTTTCAGCGTACGTGGGATTTGGTGAGAACACAAAATTTGCAAAACAATACATGCCAATAACCAGTATGTTTACACATGGTGAATTGGTGGGAGTGGGAGACAAACATGGATTTACAGCAGACCGTGTGGCATGCGAGCATTACCCACCAAGTTTAAACTTAATTCCTACTGGAAATTGATTTTAATTTTTATTTAAAGTATTATTTCTTCTATTTTTTTGCCAGTTGCTGGGAGTGCTGGTTGCTTGAGTTCCAGTTAACCGAAATTTTGATGTACCTACTGTACATCAAAATTAGAACTACTGCAACGAGACTCAGAAATCAGTGCCCTTTGATAACAGTGTGATTTTTTAAAAATATAAGTAATCATTTACACTACAGTTTTATTTCAAATTAGGTGTTATTTCAAATTGGGTGTTTTAAGTAAGCAGACTAACGTTTACATACCAACATGGCAGAAGCAAAGATGAAATGTGCTAATACTAATTAAGAGTCAAAGGAAACATTTAATAAAATACATAGTCATTTAAAGTACAGAAGGAGAGAACTTTATGGGTCTGGGAGACATATTTCTTATTTGATTTTAATGTTGTAAGCCATCCTGATACATTGTCGTAAAGGACAGCATATAAAATTCATTCATTCATTCATACATACATACATACATACATACTGCACTCCCCCCTCCCCCAAACTGCTGGACCCGAAGAAGTCAGGGGATTGAAATTCTACCCTAAAACCCTGCTCCCTTCACTGACATCATCTACCACCCATTTTGCTTTCCTTTGTGGAGAGAAAGGGACTCTGCTGGGTTCTGGAGCAGTGTCTTGCCAAGCATCAGGAGAGATGAGCCCCTCCTTTGCATGCTGCTTTATGTCCCAACTAAGACTCAAATGTAGTACCCAAAGGGTCACTTGGCTATCACCTATAGGAGAGAACAGTGGGAAGAGGGTGGGACACTTCCACGGGCTGGATGGGGAACCTTTGTGAGCTGCATTTAGTCTGTGAACTATCCCTGTTTTATTCTAAGCCAATTTCAGGGTTATATGTCTTCACAAAGTGGCACAGAAAGAAGAGCATGTTCAGGTACAAGACACAGCAGCCATAGTACCAAAGATACAGAACTTTGCATACCTTGCAAGGCTACTTCGACCAGGGTTACAACTACAACTGAAGACAGCTTTTTTGGTCTTTTGGATACTTGCTAAATCATTTGCTCTTTCAAGAAGCTC